ACAAAGATCCACCTGTGTCCTGAGTGCTGGGATTAAAGGCATGCGCCACCACTGCCCAACTCCATACTGACTTTCTTTTGTATCATTGATAATCATATTGTTCTGTTAATGTAGACTTTCCTTTTCCTTGGTTGTTGGTATACTGAGGTGATATTTACTATGAATGTTTTTCCATTGAGCTTCTTTCATGTATTAATGGAGGTGAAGGACAATAATAGGAGTTAATTTACACTTAACCTCACCACCCATCAACAGCTTTGTAACACTCAGGTGGACTCTGGATTGAGAGCTGGCTTGTATGGGATAGTCATACAGCTCAGTGGTAGAGAACTTGCAAATGGGAAGCCGTATGGATTCAGTCTCCAGTACCAAAAGCAGAGGAGAGGGGGCAGGACAGATAGGGAGAAGAGAGAAGAAAGAACAAAGGAAAAGGAAGTTAAGTTCTTAGTTCACATTTCCTATGGGGTTAAGATAGATAGCCAGGGTTTGGGAGGAGGTATGCTGCAGAAGCCATGCCATGGTTTTGTTCTGAGTCCTTTTATCTCCAGCCTGGGTGTCAGAACCAGGGACAGCTCCTGATGCCTTTGCAGCCCCTCCCCTGGCTTGGGCTAGGGAGAGAGTGGGGAGATTTGGATGTGGGGTTCTCTAGCCTCGTTTCTCACCGCTTTGTTTCTGTCTTTATGTTAGAACACCAATAATCCTGATAGTTGCAGTCTTGTGTGCCGGGTTTGACCTTTGCTCCCTTTGCTAACACGGCTCCGTCCACCTCTCTTTTATCTCTCCTTTGCCTGGTTCATTTCTGCTCATTCTCCCATGTGTCTAGGAAACTTACCCTGATTATCCTAGGCTAGATTAGACGCAGTTCCTTATAGTTCTTACGAAGCACTCATGTGTTTCTGTCATTATACTCAAAGCTTCACTGAAATTACCATCTTTATTGGTTTTGTTTTGTCTTTGTTTTTTAATTGTAGGATTAGCTCAAAACAATCCTTGTATCTTTGTTTGTCAGGAGTACAAAGATCTGGGGAGGCCTGATACTTGGCCTTGACTGGAGTACCAAGCCCAGTAGTCCTATTACTGTGTTTGCATTGAGGAACTTGGTCTCTCTCCTTTCCTTATTTTTTTTTCTGGGGGGCGGGGGGAGTATGGCTTCTTATCAGATGAGACACACTTTCTTTCTTTCTTTTTTCTGGAGCTGAGGACTGAACCCAGGGCCTTGCACTTGCTAGGCAAGCGCTCTACCACTGAGCTAAATCCCCAACCCCGAGACACACTTTCTTATACAAATAGCAAACATCTCCCTGCTTATTTCTAAATCAAATTGTATTTTATCATCATTGTTCCTAATTAGTTATTACTAGTTAATGAATGCTATACGTTGCTACTTATTTCCTTGAATTTTCCCATTTACTTACAATGGTTTCTTTGTTCTCATTCTGTTTGTGTTCTCTCTCTCTCCCCTTCTCCCCATCTTCTCACACCTCTTTTTTCTTTTTTCTTTTTGAGGGATCTTTCTGTGTTGCCCAGACTGGTAGCAAACTCTTGGGCTCAACAGATTCTCCTATCCTCAGCCTCATGAGTGCTGGGATTATGGGCATATACCACTGTGCCTGTATTCCACAATGTTTTTAATGCTCAGAAGAGGAAAGCACAGATGAGGATACAGGCTTTTTTTTTTTTTTTGTTACCATTCTTATTGTTTCAGTTCTAAAAAATTCTAAGAGGAAAGGTGACTAGACTGATAGACACAGATGGTAGAGCCCCTTCTGTGTGTTAGCCATGGACTACACAGATGGTAGAGCCCCTTCTGTGTGTGAGCAGAGGACCACACAGATGGTAGAGCCCCTTCTGTGTGTTAGCAGTGGACCACACAGATGGTAGAGCCCCTTCTGTGTGTTAGCCATGGACTACACAGATGGTAGAGCCCCTTCTGTGTGTTAGCAGTGGACCGCACAGATGGTAGAGCCCCTTCTGTGTGTTAGCCATGGACTACACAGATGGTAGAACCCCTTCTGTGTGTTAGCAGTGGACCACACAGATGGTAGAGCCCCTTCTGTGTGTTAGCCATGGGCTACACAGATGGTAGAGCCCCTTCTGTGTGTTAGCAGTGGACCACACAGATGGTAGAGCCCCTTCTGTGTGTTAGCCGTGGACCTCACAGATGGTAGAGCCCCTTCTGTGTGTTAGCCATGGACTACACAGATGGTAGAGCCCCTTCTGTGTGTTAGCGGTGGACCACACAGATGGTAGAGCCCCTTCTGTGTGTTAGCAGTGAGCCACACAGATGGTAGAGTTCCTTCTGTGTGTTAGCCATGGACTACACAGATGGTAGAGCCCCTTCTATGTGTGAGCAATGGACCACACAGATGGTAGAGCCCCTTCTGTGTGTTAGCCATGGACTACACAGATGGTAGAGCCCCTTCTGTGTGTTAGCCATGGACTACACAGATGGTAGAACCCCTTCTGTGTGTTAGCAGTGGACCACACAGATGGTAGAGCCCCTTCTGTGTGTGAGCAATGGACCACACAGATGGTAGAGCCCCTTCTGTGTGTTAGCAGTAGACCACACAGATGGTAGAGCCCCTTCTGTGTGTGAGCAATGGACCACACAGATGGTAGAGTCCCTTCTTGTGTTAGCCATGGACTACAGTGCAAGGATTGAACTGGAGAGAATGAGCCAATAGATTTCCAGGAATGTATAGAGTTACTGAATGGCCAGCAAGATGGCTCAGTGTGGCAGAGGCAACTGCTGCCAAGTCTGATGACCTGAGTTTGGTAACTGTGACCTATATTGTCCTATGACTTCCACGCACATGCTATGGTGTGCACACACAAAAAACAAAAATATAATTTAATAATTAAAAAAAAAGAGGCCCTGAAAGTAGTTTATCAGCCTGAAAGACAAAATGCTCTCTGAATTTTCCTTATACTACTTTTGTTAGCTGAGAGTGAAATTCCTAATGATGGGAGCAGTCTGCAGAAGAACTCTGAAAGCTGGGCCAAAGCTTGACTCCACTGTATGCTTTGGAGATCAGTCAGAGTGGTGGCCAGTTCTTTTCCTTAAAATTAAGCACAAGGCTGAGTCTTAACCAAAGGGAACTCGGGCCCTTAGGGAATGCTTCCCACTCACTTAACCCAGGCAAAGGTCTTGCTATTCTCTGAAAGTTTTTTTTTTTATTGCTCTATTTGGTTCAGCTGAACCCAAATTTGCTGATCATTATAGGCACATATTCCTAGACCCTGAGTGAGGCAGAAATGCATCTGATATGATCCATCTTTAAGGAACTTACTGTGTGGGAGGCAGATAAGTGACAGTGATAGCAGCTGTTACTATGTTTGCATCCTCCAAGCACTGTTGAAAAGCCTTTCTTATTAATTCTTTTTTTTTTTTTTTTTTTTTTTTTGGTTTTTCGAGACAGGGTTTCTCTGTGTAGCTTTGCGCCTCTCCTGGAACTCACTTGGTAGCCCAGGCTGGCCTCGAACTCACAGAGATCCGCCTGGCTCTGCCTCCCGAGTGCTAGGATTAAAGGCGTGCGCCACCACCGCCTGGCCTTATTAATTCTTTTAATCTTCACAACAGCCCGGTGATGTAAATACTGTACCATCACCATTACACACAAGAGAAAACCGAGATACAGAGAAGCGAAATGGTTTGTCTAATGTTACACAGCTAGTGCATGGCAGGGCAAGGATTGAAACCAAGACAGCTCTAGAGCTTTCTTCTTAACCAGTGGAGAGCAGTAGTCCTCAGTGTGTGGCCCTCAGATCAGCCACAGCAGTCTTATCTGGAAAGTTATTAAACACATACACACACACACACACACACACACACACACACACACACACACACACATTTTTTGAGACAGGGTCTCATTATACAGTTCTGGCTGTCCCAGAACTCACTAAGTAGACCAGGCTGGCCTTGAACTCACAGAAATCTGCTGGCCTCTGCCTCTTCAGTGCTGGGATTAAAGCAATGTACCACCCTGCCTAGTTGAAACATACATTCTTTTATCCAACATAAGGCCCATGACTCACATTCTGAGGCAGGGCACAACACTCAGTGTTTTAACAAGCCCTCCAGGTGATTGTGACGATTCCTGTTTGAAAAACTCTGCTGAAGAGAAGCTAGGCGTACTAAAAATGGGTGTCCTAAGTTCATCTTACTGGTAAGGTCTCAGCATGGTCCATCTCCTAAGTCCTAGGCCTTTGCATAGTATATGGTGTAAAGCAGACTTGGAAAATACATAGGAGCTGGGTCTGGGGGCACACAGCTTTTATCCCAGCACTTGGGAGGCAGAGGAAACTGGGGACTGTGATTTGGAGGCCAGCCTGGTCTACATAACAAGTCTCAGGCCAGTCAAGTGTACATAGCGAGACCTTGTCTCAAAAAAAAAAAAAAAGTGTGTGTGTGTGTGTGTGTGTGTGTGTGTGTGTGTGTGTGTGTGATGTTTGAACTGAGTTTCACTATAATTATCCTGTGAGTGCAGCAGACCAAATGGGAAGGATATGCCCAGTGATATTTGAGATTACCAAGGAAGTAGGTGTGATGTTTCTGGTATGGAGAGTACCCATGTACCCACACAAGGTATGGGTGCTATGAGAATGACAGAGAATGATTTTGAGAGGGCTTCAGGAGGCAAGCATGTCAAGACACAGTTAAATAGGGCAAATGGGCAAGGGAGACATTTTTGGCATGAAGATGCATTCATTGAGATAGGACAAGTACGTATGTTTTGTGGGAGAAAGGAAAGGGTTAAGTTTGGACTTAAATGTGAAGAGTTAGAGCCTGCTGGAGCTGTCCAGCAGACAGTAGGGACTATGAAGAGGCTCCATGGTTAGATATAGATACTTGGGCTTTAAGCGTGGATGAAGCCGTGAAGAGGGGAGAGTAGGCTAAAACTCAGGTTGGAACTACAGTGAATAAAATAACAGGAGTTATTAAAGAAAGCTGTACAGGACAGGCATGTGGAGATTTAAGAAAATGAAGACGCCAAGTAAAGTCTTAAAAAATAAAAGATGCATAGTGTCAAATGCTGCAGAGAAATAATGGAAAATTAGCCTTTGGGTTTTGACACAAAACGTCATTGAAGTGATTTGGTAAGAGCAAAATTCTGCAGATGAGAAAGTGGAGGCAGGTGCTTCCTGGGTCCTGCAGATAGAGAGCTCTGTTTCTACACTTGAGTTGAAACTGTGACATCTTCCAGAGTGGGCAAGGTCTCTAGCACGTCTATGGTCTCAGCGCCCTGCACGCGGCCTGGAAGAGAGGGTGGCGTCAGTGAGATCAGCGACTAGGGACGCAGAAATACTGACTTCGCAGAGGCAGTCAAGACTTAAAGGAATGAGGGTGATTGGGAGAGGTGGGAGGCAGGGCCCCCGGGGTGATGGGGAGTTGGGGGGGAAGAGGGCCGGGGAGTGAGGTGGGAACAGGCTCTGTGCCGAAGGCGGGGGCTGCGGGTAGGTTCCCAGGGACCTGTTTAGGGAAAAGACAGGGCCCCAGGCTGCAGCTGGGGAAGGGGTGTCGCCCGGCCCCGCCCCACTTACGCCACTGCGCGGTTCCGCCACCGGAGCCCTCCCGCCAGGCTGCACGGCCACGGGTGGCCGCCAGGGGCCGCTGCGTGGGCCCCGCGCCCCCGCCCCTCTCCATTGGCCTTTGTTGCCGTCGAGCGCCCCGCTTGACTCGTTCCCGTCCGCCCCCTGGGCCCATCGGTCGCGCCTGCGCACTGGCAGCTACTCGGCGCTCGCAGGGGGAGCTGCTGCAGGCTCCGCGGCGGCGGCAACGGAGGCTGCGGGGGCGACGGCGAGAGCGGCCGGGCTTCGGGGGGGAGCCGAGCCCGGCCCGGGAGCCCGAGCAGTGCAAGTGCGAGGCACCTAGGCCCCTCACGCTGGACTCCTCAGTCTCCCGGCCGCCTGTCCTCCACACGGGTATATGGGATGGAAGCGGGACCCTCGGGAGCAGGTAAGGGCCCTGGGGAGCGGGGAGCGGTGTGTGTTCCAAAGCCCGGGGGGGGGGGGGGCTCCCGCGGGAAAAGCATGGTTCCAGAGTGAGGAGAGGGGCTCTCAGGGGATGGGGGGCCCCATTTTGAAGGGGGCTGTGTGCAGTTCCGGCGGAGAGCCATGTGAAGATCGGAGACCCGGGCTGTTTGTCCTAGGAAGCAGTATGCAGTCCCGAGGGTGGGAAGTAATCTGGGAGAAGGGCCTGAATGCACCCGAGTCCTTCCGTGAGGTCTAGGGAGGCCTATGGGGAGGCCCGGCAGGTGGCAGGGGGGCGGGCTCCAGGTGTCCAGGAGAAGAGGGGGGCGACACAGATGGGCCTGGAACTACCGCCTGCCAGGGGCGGGGGCTCGGCCCTGTGGGGCTGGGCTAAGCTAATGTCTCTAGGGAGAAGGCGCCAGAGCTGGGCTCTGTGCTCCGCCCTGGCTGGGCCTGAAGCGGGGGTGAGGGTCAGGGGGCAGTGGGTGGGGATCTAGCCCAGGGATTTCCCCCTTAGGCTGGGGACTTGAGTGGTGGCGCGGGAGCATGCGCGGAGGTACCAGCCTAAAGGGCTGCCCTATGTGGTGGGGGCGTGGCTGTTTGAATACCCCTACCCCTCCTCTGCCCTGTTCGGCTTGGGAAAAGGAGCGCACTGATGTGTGCATTCTCTTAGACTCTGTTGGCAGAGTACAAATGGAAATTGCCTTCATCTCTGCCTTGGGGTCTCTGACACTTGGTCCTTAAGCCCCGCAGTAGCAGTTTGCCAAAGAATGGGCTGGGGTAAACTGCCAGAGTGCCTTTTTCTGCCACACGAGGAAAGACTGGGACCGAAGCCATGCTTTGGGAGCTGGTTCTCCCTGAAGATAGGCCTTAGAAAAGTGTTGGTCACTGAGAGACCAGGCCCACATGGTTTTCAAGTTTTTAGACCACTACTGAGGAGAAATGGAGCTTTTAATCCAAGGATAGCGTCCTTTTCCTTGAACTGGCTCTTTATGTTACAGTGTAATCTCTCTATATTTTTGTGACGCCTGTTTCCCAGTGGATCTTCTTCCATATCAGGGGCATGTCATTAGACCCAAGGTTACCAAGCTAGTCTGTCTGATAGAAACAAGTTGTTGGGGGTGGGGGCATGATTCCAGCATTGACCGTGATAGTAGCCCTAACTTATTTTCTCCTATTTATAGTCAGGAGAAGAGTAGATAAGAATAGAGGAGAAACTGAGGCAGGGCTGCCCAGAGAAGACTGGAGTCCTCAGGATGGACTGTAGACTTAGGATACCTTTGGTGTTCTAGGTCTCTTGCCCTGTAGTAGAAAGGACAATCTGGACCCATAATCCTTTAGGATATCTCTCACTACCTCCTTCCATCTGGTGTGGGGATGGCCCCAGGATTTTTGTCTAGATTACTTTTTAAAGATTGTGGGAAACATCTTTGTTTTTCAGGCCAATGGTATTGATCTTAAAACTCTGCCAAGTCTCTGATTCAATGATCTGTGATGTGTGTGTTGTAGTGACTGTGTTCCTCCAAACACAAACAACAGCCTTGTAAGGTAGAGTGCTAATTCTAGTTTTCTTGGTTGGAGACCGCTACCAACAACCTGTGGGCTAGAGTAGCGTGGTTAGGCCACCCACGTCCAGACACGCTGATGAAGATTCGTGGACCTAGGTTACTAATGACTTTATTTTGATGACTGTCTAGTGAGTTTTGGGGAAATGGATTTGTTTGTTACGAGAAAGGAGCTTCTAGGTGAAGGGCTGGTGCATGACAGTCAGCTGTATCATTGGGAAAATGTTAGTGGCATAGGGTTTGCCTCATCAAAAGATGTAATCGAAATTCAGGCTGGGAACTCTGATGGAGACTCCATAGCTGCTTCCTTCTGGGACCGGGCAGTAACACTGTTCTCTTGGAAGATGTTGAAGTATTGTTCTGAGAAGCTCAAAACTAAGGAGTGTTGCTCATGTCCAGATGTGCCTTCAATGTGCAGGTGTGTTCAGGCATGTGGACTGGCCTGGAAGCGCATGGAGGGTGGAGATACCGTCCGACTTCTCCGTGGCAGCAGCAGTTGCCTGGTGCATGGAGGCCCTGACACAGAGTGCATGTTTATTAACTGACTCGGATCACATTCAAGTGTGAACATATGGTTAAACTCATGTGCATATTCTGTAATTTGTGTCTATGCATGTGGGTGTTTAATGTTTGTGGACAAATATTTTTGGAGAGATTGGTCTCTTAGTCTTTTCTTACTCACCACCTAACTTACCAAGGGTGCATGCCCTTTGAGTAGTCAGTCAGGTTCTTTAGATGGTGTGAGCCTCTGAGTTGGGGAGGAACCCTGAGCCTGGGCCTTGAGGGCTGTTACTTTTCCTTCGCAGTGCTGGTTGGGGATGGGGGAGGGGGAGTGTCACTTTCAGGGCCCCTCCCTTCTTGCTTTTGTCTGCAGGGAAGGGCCCCGCCCCTTTCCCCCTAGGCTGGAGCTTTGTCCTCTGTGCTGGGGCCCTCATCTGCATCACAAAGTGGCCGTCTGTCCCTGTCTGGGTCTGAGGGGAAGTGTCTTCCTTTCTCGGTCTAAAAGCTGGGGGCAGGGCGAGGTGGGGGAGTGGAGGCTGGACAGCTGTGGGGCTTTCCAGGGCAGAGAATGGCAGAGAGGTAGTTGTCCTCTCCTTCTTGCTTCCTAGTTTGGGGATGAACTGGAGATGTGTGCCTCTTTTTCCCTGAATCCTGGGGAGGAGAGTGCCCTGAGGCACTGGTGTGCTGTCCGTTTCTGAGGAAGAGAAAGCTCTGAGGGGAGTGTCTGTCCCACTCCCTATCATTTCCGCTCAGCTCCTAGTTCTGGGGGGCTAGCGGGGGAGTGATGTCTTTCTCCCAGGATTTGCCTCCTAGTCGAGGAGACACAAAAGGCGAATGGAGCCCCAGAATTTGGGAGGGGAAGATATCCCCCTAGCAAAGGGGTCAACCGCTTCTCCTGTACAGGGTTTAGGATTGTTTGGGACAGTTGTGAGCATGTTTGTGTACTCTGTGGCATGCCTATGGGTGTGTTTGTTCATTTGTTTCATATGAGTATACTGAGTACCTGTGCTTGTGACCAAGTCAGGCATGGCCCCTTCTTTTGAAACACTGAGTAGAGGATGGGGAGGAGTGTGTGTAGAACAGTAGGAGACTTGAAAGGGCTAGGTTGTCTGTGATAGGAGTGTTTGGCGTCAGCCCGTGGGCTTGTCTGCAGTACCTGTTCAGTTCTTTCTGGGATGGGTGTGAGTACTTCAGTTCCCTTGTAGCTGGGTTCTGAAGGCCCTTTGCCTTTTGGTTGGACTAGGATTTCCCTCTGCAGAGAGGGGCTGGGGCTGACTTGATGGGTGGTTAGAGGGAGACCAAGCACCTCAGCTTTGGGAAATGTGTACCTCCCACACTTGGTTCTGGCCTCTTCCTGACACCCTTGCTGCAGATGCGCTCCATGCCCTCCTACCCCTTTCCAGCGCTGCTGAGTCTTTTCCGTCTATTGAGGGAGGAGGTTCTGGACCAGTTCATCCCTCTCTCTCTCCTTCCACCTGGGCTGGTCCTCTACTGGCAAGAACAATAGTAGCTGAGGACAAAGGCTTCACTTACACACACACACACACACACACACACACACACACACACACACACACACACACAGAGAGAGAGAGAGAGAGAGAGAGAGAGAGAGAGAGAGAGAGAGAGAGAGAGAGAGAACAGGAAAATAAGACTGGAGTAGCAGTCACGCTGGCCTATCCTAGCCCTTTCCCAAGAGTCCCCTGTGTCTTGAAATTGATCCCCTCCTGCTGTCTGGACCCTCTGTGTGGGAAGATTTGTGAAGCATGGAAAGTGTCTTCTATTCTCCTGACTCAGTGTCTTCCTTCCTCTTCCCCTTCCCAGAGCATCTAGCTCTTTCTTCATGTAAGCTTTTTTATTTTGCTCCTTCTTCATCCTCCATCTAGACAGTTCCTTCCCTATCCCTCGCCTCTCCAGCCCTACCTGCAGCCCTCACTCCTTTTTCTGACCAATTCAAGCCGTTTTCTCTTGTGACCTCTAGACCTGACCTTTTCTCCCACCCCGGCCAGCCTCGCTTCATTTTCTTAGTCTCCAGATACTCTCTACCCCTCTAGTCTTCTTTTATCTCCCTCCAGCTCCAAGCACTCCACATCTTAGCCCTGTCTTAGGCACTGGCCTTGCCATCCCCAGCCTGGCTTTCTCGAGGTCTTTCTCCTATTCGCATTATCAGAGGGTATAGTTACAAAGTCCTGATGCCATTCAGTGTTCTGGATGGTGATGAGTGACGTGAGCATCTCCTAGCAGAGAGTAGAATGTTCTAATCTGCCAGATACCTGGTAGAGATAGGTGTCTCAATCTACCATAGAAAGAAGGAAGGGTTTTGTGAACTAGGAACCAGATTTGGTCCCTTCTCCTTCATGTGATAGGAACTCATTACACATTTACTTGATGAGGTTTAATATACACATTTTCCTAACTGAAGAAAGGTTTAAAACAAGAATCAAAATGGAGCAAAGCATCGGAAAAACCAATGAGCCTGGGAATGTCTGAGCTAGTGGAAGGAAGGCCCCTGCTGGGTTAAGAAACCTGAAAGAGACCACACTCCCTGGTCGGTCTGGGTCTGAGAGGCCTTGTAGTAGTTAGAAGATTGCTAGACCCTGTCCTCACTGGCCTCTTTGTCTTAATAGCTGCAGGTGCCTACCTGCCTCCCCTGCAGCAGGTGTTCCAGGCACCTCGCCGGCCTGGCATTGGCACTGTGGGCAAACCAATCAAGCTTCTGGCCAATTACTTTGAGGTGGACATTCCTAAGATTGACGTTTACCATTATGAGGTGGACATCAAGCCGGATAAGTGTCCTCGCAGAGTCAACCGGTAAGTGATGAACATGGGTGACACCAAATCCAATTTATTAATCAGGGAAAGAGGGAACATGTTGGCTAGAGAACACTATAAGAGTGAAGTATAGTACCTAGCACAGTCCAGCATTTGTTGAAATGGATGAGTAGAGACTTTTTTTTTTTTTTTTGGTTTTAAGAGACAGGGTTTCTCTGTGGAGCTTTTGGAGCCTGTCCTGGATCTCGCTCTGTAGACCAGGCTGACCTCAAACTCACAAAGTTCCACCTGCACCTGCCTCCCAAGTGCTGGGATTAAAGGAATGCGCCACCACCTCCCGGCTGAGTAGACAACTTTTAAGAACGAGATTGGGTAAAGGAGCTAGTAGAGAAGGAAAGGTTAAAAGGCAAGGTCAGAGATGGCAGGAATAAGAGCAGGATATTCTTACTAAGGCAGGAGGATGTTGGGGGATGCATAGTTGGAGGGATTAGTCTTAGAAGAAGCAGATCAAACTGTTTTATTATTACTTGAAAACCATATTCACAGTTAGAAACCTTAAGAATTGGCAGTGAAAAATTATTGTCCCTAGTACATTTTTAAAACAATCTTGAGTGTATTTTCAGATATTTTTCTGTGTGTGCATAAACATATGCATATGTAATATTAATGTACAGTCCTATATACTTTGGAAAATAGTATGTACTAGCATGTGAAGATCTGCCTCATTCTATTGTGTAGCACCGTAGATATTCCATGGAATGGCCATATAACTTGCTTGATTTATTGAGGGATAGTTACATAGAGTCTAAACTTTTGCTACAGTATTGAAACCATTAAATATTATATAAAGATACATATTTTCACTGAGTGTGAGTATATCTGTAAGATAAAATCCTAGGAGTGGATAGCTGGTACAAGACTGTTTAAATTGAGACATTGTCAGTTTTTAGAGGTAGCATCACCGGGGATGTCAGAGTGTAGGTTTTCAGGCTACACTGGAGACCTGCAAATCAGAAGCTGATTTTAATAAAACCAATTTTCATTCAACCCACCCTGCAAGAATTCAGAAGTTCTATTGCATATACTTATACCAACCTAGTATAGCCAATTCTTTTTCTTTTTTGTATATGGGTAAGTAGATAGTTGTACCTTGTTCTAATTTTGAATTGTATTTCTCTAATGAATGAATTTAAATAGGGTTCTATTATGTATATAATAATCTATGAAATGTATATAATAATAAACACACATATAATCTATGAAAAGGGTGTTTCAAATGCTAGCCGAAGGATGGGTGCCTATCAGCATGTTTGTGTTTATGTCTGGGAACTCAAAGTGGCCTTAGCTGCCGTTCAGTGCTTTTTTTCATTGATATTAGAGCTGCTTTTTGATAAAAGGCAGTTAGAAGTTGGGAAAGGTTTCATATAGTCAGCCTATGAAGGACGTAAGTAACCAAGATGAATTTCTGAGTAGCACTGACCTAGTTGGAATTGAAACCATGTGTTTTACCATTGTTTCTAATGTACTGCTGTATATTTTATATTGTAACAGTACATAAGAGTTTGGGTTTAGAAACTGGAATGGTCAGATAATTGGGTGGCTGAGAGTTTGAAAATATGACTGTGGGAACCAAATAGGAAATCGCAAGAAGTGAGACTGGGGAAAAGATGGTAATGGAGAGAAAACAGTTGTGGAACTCCAGAGAGCTGGAGAGATGAACTCATTCTATAGTTTATTTAACTTCTCGTCTAGTTCAGATATTTCCCCTTTTGTTTTTGCTTGACAGACTGGGAGTTAGAGGTTGTGGAAGGTTCAGGATAGACCTGGGAATGAGCCCTTCTCCCCTTGAAGGTCTGTGAGGGTCTTGGTGATCTGAGGACCGGCAGCATCACCTAGGATGTCAAAATGTGGGTTTTCTAGCTACATTGTAGACCTGCCAATCAGAAGCTGATTTTTTTTTTTTGTTTGTTTTTGTTTTTCGAGACAGGGTTTCTCTGTGTAGCTTTGCGCCTTTCCTGGATCTCGCTCTGTAGACCAGGCTGGCCTCGAACTCACAGAGATCCACCTGGCTCTGCCTCCCGAGTGCTGGGATTAAAGGCGTGCGGCACCACCGCCCGGCCAGAAGCTGATTTTAATGAAACCTCCTGGCGACTCCTAGGCATGCTGAAGCTTGAGAAGTACTGTCATAGAGTAGACATTAGGAGTGAGCACAGTAGACGGGACATTGCCTGAGCCTTGACCTGTTTCCAGAAGCCTGAAGCTTCCACTCAGCTTCCCCATGCCCATCTGTCTTCCACAGGGAGGTGGTGGAATACATGGTCCAGCATTTCAAGCCTCAGATCTTTGGGGACCGCAAGCCTGTGTATGATGGAAAGAAGAACATTTACACCGTCACAGCTCTGCCCATTGGCAATGAGAGGGTAAGGCTAGGGATGAGGCCAGGCTTGGGATGGGTCTGCTGTGGAACGGAGCTCATAGAGGAGTGCTAGAGTCTGGTAGTCCAGAGAGCCTTGTGTTCTTTTGTGCTGGAAAGTATATTTTGGGAGCATGATGGCTCAGGGTTGACACTTAGTGTACTGTGTGCCTGTCCCCAAACAGACCAAGATCAGACTTAAATAGACCCAAAGGGTTCTCTTCCGGGTTGAGAGGGCCACCACCACTGAAGCATCATCCTTGGAAAGAGGGGTGTGTGTTTTACTCTGCGGTCTGTTTGTGAGCCCCTGGTGACTTGAGGGAAGCCTTATGGCAGATCTGTGGAGTGGGGGACAGTGAGTGTGGCGGGAGGACTCGTCTGGGGGAATGTGATAGTGACCCTTTTCTTCTTTCTGTCCTGAAGGTTGACTTTGAGGTGACAATCCCTGGGGAAGGGAAAGATAGAATTTTTAAGGTCTCCATCAAGTGGCTAGCCATTGTGAGCTGGCGTATGCTGCATGAAGCCCTGGTCAGTGGCCAGATCCCTGTGCCCTTGGAGTCTGTGCAAGCCCTGGATGTGGCCATGAGGCACCTGGCGTCTATGAGGTACTGAGTATAGTTATTACCTAGGCTGCAGGTGTTGGCAAAAGTGCTGCTGGGGGAGGAGGGAGGGAGTGAGTACGTGTTAAGGTCCCACAGTGTATCATTGGGAAAAAGAAACTGAGGCCCTACCATGTGTCAGGCAAGTATATATATATATGTACATTTAGATGGTTAGATCCCTGGCCCTATCCTTAGATACTATTATGGCCTCACTCCATCTATCCCTGCAGGGCAGAGAAAAGGTAGAAACTTGTACAAGGTCAGTCTTACTGTTGGCCCAAGAACAGAGCTGGCATTAAAGCCCTGGTGTCCTGCCTTCCAGGCCAGGGCTCCTCCGTGCCCAGGATGCCTCACAGGGTGGGGGCCTGTGCCCGAGGGACCAGTTCTCTGCCTGTCCCTGCCAGGTACACCCCTGTGGGCCGCTCCTTCTTCTCACCGCCTGAGGGCTACTACCACCCGCTGGGGGGTGGGCGCGAGGTCTGGTTCGGCTTTCACCAGTCTGTGCGCCCTGCCATGTGGAAGATGATGCTCAACATTGATGGTGAGTTGGGAGAGCTATGGAGCCAGGGGCACCCTAAATCCAGTGACCACAGTCCCAGCCTCATCCCTCCCAACTCTGCAGCCATACTCCTAGTCTAATTCCTGCAGCCCTGGCACACCCTGCCCCTATCCTGGTACCCCGTAAAGAAGAGGGTATAAATTGTAATGCTTGCTTTTTTTTTTTTTTTTTCTGAAAAAATCTGAGGCAATCTATTTCTCCCCTGTCCCTACAGTCTCTGCCACTGCCTTCTACAAAGCACAGCCAGTGATTGAGTTCATGTGTGAGGTCCTAGACATCAGGAACATAGATGAACAACCCAAGCCCCTCACGGATTCTCAGCGTGTTCGCTTCACCAAGGAGATAAAAGGTGAGGACCCACTCACATGGGGAAGGGAAAGCGCTGCCTTCTCTGACCCTAAGAGGAAATCTTCCTGGGAGAGGCCAAGCAAGGGACCATGAACAACCCCTTTCAACCTTGACAAGTAGTGTGTGTATCTCAGGCCTGAAGGTGGAAGTGACCCACTGTGGACAGATGAAGAGGAAATACCGCGTGTGTAATGTTACCCGCCGCCCTGCTAGTCATCAGACGTAAGTTGGCAGCATTGCTGAGCACGGTCAGCCGGTAGCAGAGGGCTAAGCTCTGGAACCCACTCCCTTCTTGTGTTGTCCTTCAGAATAAGACGTGCACTGACCTGTGCTTGGAGAGAAGCCATGAGAGTCCCAGATTGTTTGATTATCCCCATGAGTTTCACCTTCTTGAGCTCTTGGTTTCCTCCTTGGACCTTTACTGTAGAGCATGCGTGGTCCACTGATACTGTTGGGTCTGTAAATAGAGAACATTTCAATTTATTCTTCCTCCTGAAAAAAAGCTAAAGTCAGGATCCCTGGGTTAGCTGTAGGAACATCCTCAGATGCCATCCCCTTTCTTGATGCCAGGCTGTTGGACTCTTATCTTTAGTATCTATTCTGTTCAGGCTTTAGAAGTACAGCTGAGTCAGATACGGTTGACTGCTGCAGACTTGTCCATCAAATCTTTGGCTTGTCCAGTGAAGCCTTGTAGCACTCGCTTGCTTTCCCATGAGTGGCAGTGACCAAAGAGGGTGCAGTAAGGCCCAGCGCCTTCGGCTGGGGCTATAGAGAGGTGGGGTTGGATGCTGAATTATGATACTTCCTTCTCTTCCTCCAAACAGGTTTCCCTTGCAGCTGGAGAGTGGACAGACTGTGGAGTGCACCGTGGCACAGTATTTCAAGCAGAAATATAACCTTCAGCTGAAGTATCCCCACCTGCCCTGCCTACAAGTCGGGCAAGAACAGAAGCATACCTATTTGCCCCTGGAGGTAAGGCTGCCGGAGAATGGCTCGGCTGACAGTGGTCATCGGTCTGCTGAGCCAGTCACAATCTCCCCTGCCCATTTTGAAGTTTGGAAGGATGATTTCTGGGAAGGTTTAAGGTTGTTTTCATGTGACATACAGACTTCCTACTTGCTAAGTTCATTCTTTTTTTTTTTTTTGGTTTTACGAGACAGGGTTTCTCTGTGTAGCTTTGGTGCCTGTCCTGGATCTCACTCTGTAGACCAGGCTGGCCTCAGACTTACAGAGATCCGCCTGCCTCTCTGCCTCTCGAGTGCTGGGATTAAAGGCGAGCGCCACTGTCGCCCGGCCTAAATTCTTTTCTTTTCTTTTTTTTTTTTTAAATTTATTTATTTATTATGTATACAGTGTTCTGCCTGCATGTATGTCTGGAGGCCAGAAGAGGGCACCAGATCTCACCATAGATGGTTGTGAGCCACCATGTGGTTGCTGGGAATTGAACTGAGAACCTCTGGAAGAACAGCCAGTGCTCTTAACCTCTGAACCATCTCTCCAGCCCCTAAATTCTTTTCTTATCCCCGGCTTTGCTCTCATGTTCTTTCAGGGCTGCTAGGCAGAAGGGCACGTTGTATTCATTCATTCACTCATTCATTCTTTATTCATTCATTTATTTGAAACAAGTCTACAGCCCAGGCTGGCCATGAACTCATATTTAGACAGGTATGACCTTGAACTTCTGATCCTTCTGTCTCCACCTCCCAGGGGCTGGGATTCTAGACATATACTACCACACTCAGTTTATGGAGTGTGGAGGATTGAACCCAAGGTTTTAGTCATGCTAGGCAAGCACTGTGACAAATGAGCTGTCCCTAGTCTTACATTTATTGTTTTGTCATTGGTCAGGATAGAGATTTCAGATATTCACACATATGTTATCTCTTAATTTCTCTTTCCTGCTGTCTGCAATTAGGGATAGTGAGTTACCTAGAAATACAATTATATCTTATTCTGAAGAAAATGGACACAAAGATTCCCTGTAATGTAAATCTTGTTTCCCTAGTGGTTAATGTGCTCTCTTCTGGGAAGTCCTAAATCTCTTGTCATGGCTCTGTACTTCCCAGACCTTTGACATATAGCAGTCAACAAGAAGACAGTAATACTGTTTAAGTCACAGAATACCAGTGTTGAATCTCTAGTCAAAGCCTTGTGAAGAATTTCTGACTGTCATATCCTCTGGTCCAGTGTGTGATCCTGCGGTGCAATAGGATTGGCACCTGAGCGTGTTCAACACGCAGAATCTCTGTCTGTACCTATTGAGTCAGAACCTGTCTGTCTTTTAGGAAGATCTAAAAGCAGAGTCATATATACAGTAGAGTTGGAGATGTACATGCATAGACTCCCCACTTATTCCAGCAGTGGGGTTTGGGGGGCTTCTATGAACTTTTTGTTTGTTTGTTTTTTTGAGACAGGGTTTTTCTGTGTAGTTTTGGTGCCTGTCATGGATCTCACTCTGTAGACCAGGCTGGCCTTGAACTCAGAGATCCTCCTGGCTCTGCCTCCCGAGTGCTGGGATTAAAGTCGTGCACCACCACTGCCAGGCGGCTTCTGCAAACTTAAAGCTCAAGCTTTTTTTGAACTTCTAGGGTTCTAGAACCTCATCTAAGAAAGTGAGACTGAAGGGAGAGGAAAGGAAAGCAAGAGCTGTGGCTTGTTTAATAGCAGCTGGTACACGGGAAGGGGGTGAAGGCAGTATGTTCTCGGAGGTATAAACTGAGGTCTGTAGGGACAGTTCCAGCCAAACTGACATGTGCTGCAAGCTGAAATTGTAAACAATGTTATTTATGTGAAACAATAGTTTTCAAGGTGAATCATTTATATAATTATGTACCTTGACTTGTATTGTTGCTTATTTAACAAATATTTATTAAGCTCATAATATATGTTATATATAGATTTAGGTACTAGAAATACAGAAATTAAGTAGACAGGAAGGGTCCCTCCTCTCATGGAACTTGTATTCTTCTAGAAAGACAACAAATTGATAAACACGAATGTAGTTTCAGATGGTAGTGAGTGCTGAAAAAGTAGTAAAGCAGGTCAAGGGACAGAAGTAAGGATGTGAGGAGGTCAAGGAACAGTTTGAGTTATTGTTGTCAAAGTAGCCTCTTTTAGGAGACATTTGATCTGAGCCCCAAATTATGGCTGTCATCCTTGTAATAATAGCAGGGACAAGCTTTCCTGGCAGTAGGAACAGCTACCAAATGTCTAAAGCAAGACATTCTGGGTCTTTCTGAGGGACAGAGGGATGTAGGATATAAAAAGATTTAATAGCTTTATCAAGACATAATTGACATTATAAAAATGTGAAAATGTATAATTCAGTGGTACTTAGTATATTCATAGAATTATGCAGACATCATGACTATTTAATTTCAGGATGTTTTATCACCCCCAGAAGAAAGCCTGTATTTCTTTCCCTAATGGTCCCTAGTAACCATTAAGCTATTTTCTATCTCTGTGGATTTTCCTGTTTGAGACAAACTATATAAACAGAATCATACAGTCTATGTCCTTTTGTGAATGGCTTTTTTTTTTTTTTTTGAGACAGGGTTTCTCTCTGTAGCAGCCCTGGCTGTCCAGAGACTTGCTCTGTAGACCAGACTGGCCTCGAACTCACAGAGATCTGCCTGCCTCTGCCTCCCGAGTGCTGGGATTAAAGGTGTGTACTACCATGCCTGGCTGTGAATGGTTTCTTTCATTTAGCATAATTGTTCCAAGATTCACCCTCAGTGCTATGAGGGTGTTCCTTTTTGTAGCTGCATCATTGTGTTTCTTCATCATTGACGGGCGTTTGGGTTACGCTCTTTGGCTGATGGAAAAGAAGTACTGCTGTAAGCATTCGCCGACTTGTTTCTCCGATTATGTTCTTATCTCTCTTGAATACATACGTCAGAGTAAACTTACACTAACTGTTAACGTCCTCAGTGCTGCCAGATTTGCCTCCTGTTTGCAGCCCTGTCAGCAGTGAATGAGGATTCCGGTTTCTAGTCAGGAGAGGTTTATTTTAATTATTTTGGGAACCCATGGCAGGTTTAAGTAAGAAAATGTGGATAATTTGAAGTTCCATGACTAGGAGCTAAGAATAACCAGTGCCACCATCCTAGGTCTTTGTGTTCCTTAAGCAGTTATTCAGGCCTCTGAGACTCAGCACAATTGTTTGTTCATGTTCAGGTCAGCTCATTCCTGCATCAATCTTTTCTTTTTCAAATTGTCAGCTGCGCATGACATGAAAGTTACCATTTTAACCGCTGAGGTGTAGAATTCTGTGACATTAAGTACATTCACATTGTTGTTCGGCTCTCATCACTGTCTGTCTCCAGAAAATGTTCCTCATCTGGAACTGGAGCTAAACCCTTTAAAGACCAACCTCCCTTTCCAGCCTGTTCTACTTTCTCTTTCTAGGAATTGACTACTCCTCTAGGTCCTTTATGCAAGGATAAGCATATATTTATCCTTTTGACTGGCTTATTTCACTTAGCATTGATGTCCTCAGGGTTATCCATGTTGTGGTGTGTTAGGATTCTCTTCCTTTTTAAGGTGTAATACACTTCTATATGTGTATACCATATTTGATTCATATTTTCTTTTTTTTTTTTTTTTTGGTTTTTCGAGACAGGGTTTCTCTGTGTAGCTTTGCGCCTTTCCTGGATCTTGCGCTGTAGACCAGGCTGGCCTCGAACTCACAGAGATCCGCCTGCCTCTGCCTCCCGAGTGCTGGGATTAAAGGCGTGCGCCACCACCGCCCGGCTTGATTCATATTTTCTAATGCTGATGGACACTTGAGTAGCAACTATAAATAACGCTGCTGTGGACAAAGCTGTACAAACACCTGTCAACTCTGCTTTCTCTTCTCTTGAGTATGTACCGGCAGTGGAGCTGATGGTTCCCATGGTAATCATATATTTAATGTGAGGAATCACAGTACCGTTTTCCACAGCAGCGTCTCTGTTTTGTATTCCCACAGCACTGCACAGAGTTCCAGTTTTGCCGCAGTCCTTTACTTTCTGGCAGTGTGGGTTCTGAAGCTGGAACTGCTTGTGGAGTGCTACAGTTGAAAGCATCTTTAGGAAAGTCAATTTCAACAATTCTAGGTGCTCATGTGTAGGCTTTGAAATGTGGAATTTAAAAGCAGGTGCGCTTGACCTGGCTTTCCTTTAGTGTGAACTCTGGGAGCTAGGACTAAGCCAGTGCGTACAGAACATTAGCCATACAGAACATCAGTCGTACAGAAACATTAGCAATACAGAACATCAGCCGTACAGAACATCAGCCGTACAGAACATCAGCCGTACAGAACATCAGCCGTACAGAACATCAGCCGTACAGAACATCAGCCCTACAGAACATCAGCCGTACAGAACATCAGCCGTACAGAACATCAGCCGTACAGAACATCAGCCGTACAGAACATCAGCCGTACAGAACATCAGCCATACAGAACATCATCAGCCATACAGAACAAGTTACACATTTTCTTGAGTTCACAGCATCTTGAGACAGCTAGTGATTTTTTTTTTGTTTTTAATCATAGCTGAGATGAAAGAAGTTGAGTCTCAGAGCAGTTAAGAGACAAGCCCAAGGTAACATCATTTAGAAGTACAGAGCTTCACTTCAACAAGTCTCCTTGAGACCAGCTGCCTTTCTACTCCATTATAAGCTTTCCTGTCCCTGTGTCCTGATTAGAAGTCCAAGTTTTATTTGTCACTAGGCATTGTTTTTTTTTTAAGATTTCTTTCTTTATTTGATGTGCGCTGGTGTTTTTGCATGTATATACTCTGTGTGAGGGTGTCAGATCCTCTGGAACTGGAGTTACACACAGTCGTGAGCTGCCTTGTGGGTGCTGGGAATTGAACCCCAGTCATCTGGAAGAGTAGCCAGTGCTCTTTACCGCTGAGCCATCTCTCCAGCCCCTAGGCATTGTTTTTAATCTCCATCTTGTGTACAGACAGAGGAGCCATGTAGCAGAATGGTCCTCATCCTAATAAAGAACACTGCCAGCCAATAGAAATAGTGATTTCAGTGGCTGGAGATAACAGTTCAGTCAGTAGAATACTTCCTTTGGATGCTTGCAGCCCTGGGTTCACTCTCTAAGCATACCCACCTCACACACACACATACACACACACACACACACACACACACACACACACACACACACACACACACACACACACACACACCGTGTCCCTAGCACACACAAAAGAAAAAAGGAAATAATGGTTCTTGTACTTTCTATACCTCAGGGGCTCAGGAACTTTTAGCTATTTTTGCTCCTCCTGGTTGGTTGCAGATGGAGCAACATACTTCCTGCCACCACTGGAGAACTGCCATAGGAATCTGATTTGCTTATATTATATTGGGTTTTTAATATTCAAAAGAGCTGTGTACTTAGTCCTTGAGTAAATAATAATGTATGCTATAATGTACTGAGAGCAGTGTTCCAGAACTGTGCTCAGCTCTGTAAGTGTTTTATTTAATCCCTGGACACCCTGTGGGATTGTAATTATTCTCATTTAAAACATGAGACCTGATCACAGACCTGGATTGCAAACTCTTGGTCGCATGTATTTGTATCAATGACTGTAACCCTTTTCCCCATTTTCGATAAGGACGGGCTATGCTCAGGCCATGACTACTTGTCCCTTCATTTCCCCAGGTCTGTAACATTGTGGCCGGGCAGCGGTGCATTAAGAAGTTGACTGACAACCAGACCTCAACCATGATAAAGGCCACAGCTAGGTCGGCCCCAGACAGACAGGAGGAGATCAGTCGCCTGGTCAGTGGGACTGCTGAGCAATGCATGCTTGTTCACTGAGCCTCTGGGGCCCTTGGGAGCATAGATGCTTTACTGGTCGGTCCACCAAGACCTTCCTTCAGGAAACCTGTTTGGACTTGTCTGGGGCTTTGCAGGGCTGCTCTTGCTTCTTGAGCCTTTAGCTACTTCTTTCTCTTTCTCCCTCCGTTCTAATTCAGCTCCCGTTTGCACTTCCACTCCCTTCATTTTCTATTTCTTCCACCCCTTTTTAGGGCTAATTTTTGGCAGCCTCAGCTTCTCTTCAGGGCTCTCTCCTTGGGACCCAGAACGTGAGCAGTATTGCCAAGCTGCTGGTCTCCTGAGATCCCCTTCTTTTGCCCTGCAGATGAAGAATGCCAGCTACAACTTAGATCCCTACATCCAGGAATTTGGAATCAAAGTGAAGGATGACATGACGGAGGTGACGGGCCGAGTGCTGCCGGCGCCCATCTTGCAATATGGCGGCCGGGTGAGCAGGGTCAGGGCCAGACAACATCTCTGGGGCATATGGGGGGAGTTGGGCTGCCTAGCTTAGGGGCTTTTGCTCCCTCCTCACATGGCTCTACTGAGGCTCACCTGGGCGCCCCCTCTGCCTGTCCCTAGAACCGGGCCATTGCTACACCCAACCAAGGTGTCTGGGACATGCGTGGGAAACAGTTCTACAATGGGATTGAGATCAAAGTCTGGGCCATCGCCTGCTTCGCACCCCAAAAACAATGTCGAGAAGAGGTGCTCAAGTAAGAATGGAAGAGTGTTGGGTTTGGGGTTGGGTGGGTGGGAAGGATCGCAGAGCTGTTGATTTCATAATCTCTAGGGGTCAAGATTGATCTGCGATCTGCCTTTTCTCTTTTAACTCTGTTTACTGTGTTTTTTCTGACTCTCATTTCTGCCTGTCCTTTTCTGTGCATAATGTAGTCAGAAGACTTCAGGAGCCATATCTATATCAGAGATGAATTTTAGGATATGACTCTCCTAAGGGAGGCCTGAGTCATTTTATTGTTCTAATTGTCATAATTGGTAATAAGTAGTGGTAGTAATAACTATCATGTTTATGCTACTATTACACTTAAGTGACTAATTTGTGTTCTTTCACCTTGGTAGTGAGTAGGTGGTGTCTCAGTTGCTCTTCTATTGCCATAATAAAACACCACAACCAAGGCAACTTATAAATAAGAGTTTATTGGGTCTTACAGTGCCAGAGGATGAGTCTATGGCCAGTCATGGCAGGGATATGGCGGCAGGCAGGCAGGCATGGTGCTGGAGCAATAGCCAAGAGCCCACATCTGATCAAGCAAGAGGAAGAGAAGGAGCCGACAGGAATGGCATGTGCTTTTGAGACCTCAAAGCCCACCTTCCAGTGCGGCACCTCCTCTAACAAGGCCACTCCTCCTTCCCAAACAGTTTTCCCGACTGGGGACCAGGCATTCAAGTGTGTGAGCCTCTGGGGGCCATTCTCATGCAAACCAACACATGTACTATTTCATGAGACGGAGGCTGAAGAGGTTAAATGACTTGTCCAAAGTGTGCGCGTCAGGAAAGGGTCGGAGTTACGATCCAATCAGATCTGACCAGCAGCTGGTCCTCTGAGCTGTGCTCATCAGTACAGAGTTAAGTGAGATCCAAGTGACCTGAAGTAGGTGCACATGAATTGAGAGGCCCATCCATCATCGTTGAGAGGCTGGGAGTAGATGGCAGTGAGGAAGAGAAAGACAGTTGTCTGTCTTAATGAAACAGATTACAGAAGTAATGACCTAAGTGAGTAAATAAATAGAAATGTCACTTGACACTTTACCTATAGTCTTTAGTTTTTATTGAGTTAGCTTAAAATACCAGTAAGTGTACATACATAAAAGGTGCGGTTCAGTTTCTGCTGTCTTTTAAGCGGTGGCTGTGTGGATGAGAACTGGATCATCGTATTCTGGTAGTGGGGAGGTCAGTAGAGCTGACCTTTTTGGTTGTGACAAAGGGTAATGGAGATTTGTGCCCTTTGTGTCTTTGATAGAATTACTTCTGTCAGCTCCTGCTGGATCCAGACCTTCCAGGCCCTTGTCCTCCCTTCCCTGTACCACCTTCCCCGACCCACCACCATCATAATTGTCATTTCTCTTCACTGGAATTTTTTTGTTTCCTTATTTGTTTTTTAGTCTCCTTTCCTGGATCCGTTAGGTTTAGTCTAGGCTGGTCTGGTATTTGGTCTGGCATTGTAGCTGTACTGGAAGGGCTCCCAGCTCTTTGCCTGTATGCCACAGTAATCTCATTGGTAGCTCTATCTCTTTTCTGCTCCTTTGTCCTGTCCTTGTCTAGGTGTTTTGTTGTTTGTTTGTGTTTTTAAATCTATCACTTTGGCCTCTAGGGTTTACCAGGAACTGATAAACCTAGGATCTCAGGTTTGGAGGAGTTCAGTGCATCAAGCTCTCTTTTCTCTCAGTGACACCTACATACAGGGCATAAAAACGTGACTGTGGATCTGGATCAGTGGTACCTCACTTAATGCGTGGTACTGGGTCAAAGATAGAGATTCCTGAGTTTTCAGCCATGAAAACTATGACATGCAGAGAAGACTCTGGGGAGACTATGCGTAGAAAGTAGAAGTTAGAACTAGACCGTAGCAACTTTGGGAAGTAAATGAAGCAAAGGCTCCCGAGTGTAGAGGAGGACATAGGGCTCAGCACAGAGAAAAGCGTCCTTTTCACAAAGACAGTGGGGGAGCCGGAGGCCTGCGGAGTTGGAGATTGGTCAGTGATGGATGAACATAGTCAGGTCTGTTGATTTTGTCTGCTTTATCATCGTAGCTGGGTCACTGTTAGGATATGGCCTTCTACATTCTAGATCATCTGAATACTTTTTGGTTCCTAGCATTAGACATAGTATCCTGATCACAGTCTGGTATTGGAGGGAAGGAAGGGAGTACTCATTCTTGAAGCAAAGACCCGTCAGTAACGAAGTCTGGGAAAACAACTGATTAATGTTTGGTAACTATACTACAGTTGTATGGAGCAGAGTAAAGGAAGAAATGCTGTCAACAGACCATTAAAGCCCTCTTATTTACAGGAGGCAATGGTTAGCTTTTAGTGAGTTATTTATTCATTCATTCATTCCATTTTTTTTTTTTTTTTTTGGTTTTTCGAGACAGGGTTTCTCTGTGTAGCTTTGCACTTTTCCTGGAACTCACTTGGTAGCCCAGGCTGGCCTCGAACTCACAGAGATCCGCCTGGCTCTGCCTCCCAAGTGCTGGGATTAAAGGCGTGCGCCACCACCGCCTGGCTCATTCATTCCATTTTTTTTTTTTTTTTTTTTTTTTGGTTTTTCGAGACAGGGTTTCTCTGTGTAGCTTTGCGCCTTTTCTGGGACTCACTTGGTAGCCCAGGCTGGCCTCGAACTCACAGAGATCCGCCTGGCTCTGCCTCCCGAGTGCTGGGATTAAAGGCGTGCGCCACCACCGCCCGGCCATTCATTCCATTTTTGAGTGGAGGTGTTGAGACAGTATTCTTGGGACACTGTCACTCTTTATCTCTCATGCTGGCCTCGAACTCATGGCAGTCACCCTGACTCACTCTCAAATGTCAGGATTATGAGTGTATGTGTGCCTTAAGACCTGTAGATTGTAGGGTTTTTGTTTTTTTTTATTTTATAATTAGTTTAATTTTACATATCAGTCACGGATTCCCCCGTCCTCCCTCCTCTCCCTGCAGTCCCCCCAATCCATCCCCATTCCCACCTCCTCCAGGGCAAGGACTCCCCTGGGGTTTTTTAATGTTATTATTTATTAGTTTTTGTTTGTTTAAAAGATTTAAAAAAAAATAATGTAGCTAGTGGACATGATACATCCTGCCTGTAATCCAAGCACTGAAAATCTCAGCACAGACAGAAAATTGTCTCATGTTTGAGGCCATCTGGGGCTACATATAGTGAATTTCAGGCCAGTCAGGCCTACATAGTAAAACTATAAAAAAAAGCCAAAATAATTGTGTTAGTTAGGGTTTCTGTTGCTGTGCTAAAACACCATGACCATAAACAACTTGGGGAGGAACGAGTTTATTTTGCTTACTGGCTTGCTCACCCTGCTTTCTTTTTTTCTTTTTTTTTTTTTTTTGGTTTTTCGAGACAGGGTTTCTCTGTGTAGCTTTGCACCTTTCCTGGAACTCACTTGGTAGCCCAGGCTGGCCTTGAACTCACAGAGATCCGCCTGGCTCTGCCTCCCGAGTGCTGGGATTAAAGGCGTGCGCCACCACCGCCCGGCTCACCCTGCTTTCTTATGCTCCAGAGGACCACCTGCCCAGGACTAGTACCACTCACATGGCCCGGGCCCTTCCACATCACTCACTAATTGAGAAAATGCCCAAAAGGCTTTTCTACAGATGAATCTTTTTTTTTTTTTTTTTTTAATGTTTTATGTGCATTGGTGTGATTGTGTCAGATCCCTCGGAACTGCAGTTACAGATAGTTGTGAGTTGCCATGTGGGTGCTGGGAATTGAACTCAGGACCTCTGGAAGAGCAGCCAGTGCTCTTAACTGCTGAGCCATCTCTCCAGCCACTCTACAGATGAATCTTATGAAGGCATTTTCTCAATTGAAAATTGAGCCTCCTCTCAGATGGCTCTAGCTTTTTGTTGTTTATGAAAAGTTAGCCAGCACAATGATAATAATAATAATGTAGAAATAATATAGTCCACATTCATAGTTTTATCATGTTTCTTCATTCTTTTTTATTTTTATTTTTTAATTTTTGTTTTTTCGAGACAGGGTTTCTCTGTGTAGTTTTGGTGCCTGTCCTAGATCTCGCTCTGTAGCCCAGGCTGGCCTCGAACTCACAGGGATCCGCCTGGCTCTGCCTCCTGAGTGCTGGGATTAAAGGCGTGCACCACCACTGCCGGCTCTTCATTCTTTTTAAACAATATAAATTTGACATTTTTTGATGCCCTGCATTCTAGTTTCATCTCTCCTGATGCGGTTGCTGGTATGAATTATAATCTTCTTACTCATTTTTTTAAGGATGTATATGTGATTTTAAATTTGCATAAAATATACTGTATCTACCTTACATATTTTTATTAAATATGTGAAAAATACATCCTGAACTGTCATTGATACATATGTGGTATATATTTTTGAAACATTCATTTCTGTTCTCTTTTTTGATTACTGCTTCTATTAATTAAGTTTTTCAGTGCTGAGTGCGAATCCAAGGCTTTGTACATGCCAGACAGGCACTTCATTGCTGATTGCTTTCCTTTAAATGATAAGATTTTTACAAATTAAATTGCTTGCCTTTCATTTTTGTATATTTATGTGACTTGGTTATTTTACTGTACTACATCCACCCACTTTACCAACTCTGCAGCCTTTCTCAGGATAAAGCCTACAGCCAGAGGAAAGAGGCTTGCTTAATGATTGGCCCTTTCCTTAGTGAACAAGTGGGGGGGCTCATCTTTTCCTGAGCACCTTCTGTTCTTCATCACTGGTAGACTCTCCTTTACTCTGGGCACAAAAGCCTTGCACTTAGGCATCTGTGTGTGTGTGTGTGTGTGTGTGTGTGTGTGTGTGTGTGTGTGTGTGTGTGTGTGTTTTCCCCTGTGGACATGTAATGGAGTACAGATATCCACAGGTCTCACTCACACAGAAAGACAAGAGCCCTGAGAATTCCCACAGGTTCCTTGTCTGTTCTCTTCAGCTCCCTTAGTGCTCTCTCTAGTTGAGCAAGCTCTGTCTTGTTTTCCTCTACTATGAATGTAGTTTTTTACGTCAGCTGTGGTTGGATCATTCCTATTAGAATCTCACAGTGCTGAACACCCAAGATGGAGGCGTTTGGTCCATCAGATTCCGTGGGGTTTATCACACCCTGCCATGACCATGTTTGTGCTACAGGAACTTCACAGACCAGCTGCGGAAGATTTCCAAGGATGCGGGGATGCCCATCCAGGGTCAGCCTTGTTTCTGCAAGTACGCACAAGGTGCGGACAGCGTGGAGCCCATGTTCCGACATCTCAAGAACACCTACTCGGGACTGCAGCTCATCATCGTCATCCTGCCGGGGAAGACGCCAGTGTATGGTACAGTTCTCTGGGGACAGTGATGATAGTGATAGGATTCGTTTCACAGCAGCCCCCTAGGGGCTTCTAGGGAGGAGTCAGTGGAGGATTTTGGCTTTAGCCAGAGATGTTCACTAATGTCAGTTTTTTGTTTGTTTGTTGTTTTTTTAAATCAGAGAAATATTCTGTCTGAACAATTGAGTCATTCGGTTTTACTTACCTGTTACACTCCTTCCCATTCTAGGCCCCTCTGTGACAGGGTCTTTCTGCCAGGCTGAGGTAGTGGAATACAGGGATGGGTCAGGCCGGGTAGCTGTCCCTTAGGAGTGTGTTATTTATTAGGACGTTATGAGCTCCAGCTGAACACGTGGTGCTTCTGCTACTGTCCTGCCTAGTAGTAGCTTGGGCTTTTTGCAACATTTCTCCTTGTTTCCTCTTTCTCATTTTACAAATGACAGTAAGTCTCTTACTCCGTTTTCCTCCCTTATCTCTGCCTGCTTCAGAAACTGTGCTGTCCTTTTCCTTCACTTCTGGTTTTGTTCCCATCCAGTTTTGGTACCTTTGGGACTTCATGCCTCTCAGCCTGTACACATCTGCAGATTAACTGTCCTGAAGTACACTGCAACAATTTTGCAATGTCTTTAGCATTTTTTCGCATTGCTTTTCTCCCTTTGAAAGAGTTGTTTTTACATTCTCTGTGCACACTCCCTCAGCAGCCCTTGTGTCTTAGCTTGCTTCCCTCTGTCTTGTCTACTTTTCTCCTCAGGCAGGTCTGGGATTGAGGACCTGGTTTTGTTCTCTTCTTCCTTTGACTTCTGGATACATTTCCTGTCTCTGTTTTTGTCATTACCAGGAATGCCTGGTATTCTAAGATTTTCTTTCCTTTTCCTTCTATCTGTCTTTTATTGATATTCTCACTCATTTTGGTTGCTTTGGCCATTACCTATTACTGTAATATGATAATATATATATGTGTGTGTGTATATATTATATATGTGTGTGTGTATATATATAACTACATATATAGTTATATACATAACTACATATATATGTACACATATAACTATATATATATATATAGATAGATAGATAGATAGATATAGATATATGTATTTTGTTTGTTTTGTTTTTTGTTTTTCGGACAGGTTTTCTCTGTATAGCTTTGGCTGTCTTAGAACTCCCTCTGTTGCCCTGGCTGGCTTTGAACTCACCAAGAGCCACCTGCCTCTGCTTCTGAGTGCTGGGATTAAAGGCATGCACCACTACCACCCGGTTTAGTACTATTATTATCTTAAAACCAGTTCTTGAATTCTCTTCAGTTCCCATTTGTTTGTCCTCTCTCTCTCTTTCTGCAGGTTTATTGATCATCTTTTCTAATCTTTCTTCTCAAGGAAGAAAGATCAGACTTTTTAAAAACAACAGTAAAACCCCCAAACTTCACTGGCCCTCATTCGGTACTGCATAAAGGACTTTTGGTCCTGATGTTGTGTAACCTTTCACCTTTTTCCTGTACTGTTCATGTAACAAACGTACTGTAACGTCATTTGCTTTGAAATGAGATCCCAATCCCAGTCCTTCCTATACCAGTCAACCAGCTGAGGCAGATCGCCAAACTGCTCGAGGCTTGCTGAGTTGGTTATGTAAAAGCAACTTCTTAGGAGTCCTTGGCAAGAGCAGTCGCTTTAAACGATCACTCTGTGATTGTACTTTCCTCTCTGGTTGTGTTTTGCTCCCATCATTTTCCCTTTGCTTGGAATGTCTGAATATTCTTTTTGCCCATCTTACCCGTAAAGTTTTCTCCATCTTTCAAAACCTAGTTCAAATTATACTTATTTTCTGTTGTCATCATTTTACTTAGAGGATATATATGTCCTTTTTTTGTTTTGCTTTTTGGTTTTTTTTGGATGGGCTGTAATTTACGATAGCCTCTCATCCAAAGATCTGCCTGCCTCTGCTTTCCAAATGCTGGGATTAAAGGCATGTGCCATCATGCTTGGCTTTTCCCCCCTTTTAAAAATTAATTAATTAGTTAATTAATCAATCATTTAATTTTTTAATTACACTCATGATATTCATTAATTATACTCATTGATTACATTTGTGGTATTCATTGATTAAATTTGCAGTATTCATTCAATAGTTTTATTTATGATATTCATTAATTACATTAATTGTTTTGATTTATTATATTCATGATATTATGTCCTGATACTACTGTCCATTTGTGGGACTTTTCCATCACAAAAACAGAGATTCTTTACTTAGGAAATCATTGCTCTATATTCCTTTCTTCTCCATCTTGAGATAACATCTAATCCTTCTGTCTCTATGAATTTGTATATTCTATATATTTCATGTAATACAATTCTATAGTATTTGTCCCTTTTTTTTTTTTTTTTTTTGGTTTTTCGAGACAGGGTTTCTCTGTGTAGCTTTGCGCCTTTCCTGGGACTCACTTGGTAGCCTAGGCTGGCCTTGAACTCACAGAGATCCGCCTGGCTCTGCCTCCTGAGTGCTGGGATTAAAGGCGTGCGCCACCACCGCCCAGCTGTCCTTTTTTTGAATGTAAAAACATTTTATGTACAACTGTAGGAGAAATAATACACAGATAGCTTGAACATAAAAACAGGTTATAATAATTCAAAAGTCCAGATTATTTTAAACAGTACAATATTTTCTCTGTAGAAAATAGTAAAAATGATAACATTTCCCAATAAGCCCTTTTAAGTCAAATGATAGCTGACTTATACATATAAGTATTGATTAGATTCTGGGATACAGAAGAGACCTATCTTCATCTGTTCAGAGGGCTATGTTTTACTTAAATTGTGTAAGTGAGATTCCTATTCATCTTCCCTTCACTGTCTGATTTATGGCAGACATTTTTCTATAGGCTAATCCATAATCTAAAAAGATTTTAGCCTCTCCTCCTGAAAGTATGGCCAGCATTTTCTTTCATCAGCTTGATACAGTACAAATTCTTACCCTAATAGTGAAATGTTTCACTAAAGCTTGCCCAGTGATTGGGCAAAACTAAAACTTATTATAAGTCATCCTAGGGTCCCCCCTGCTAGGTAGCCTCCCTGGATCTGTGGGTTGCAGTCTGATTGTCCTTTGCTTTATATCTAGTATCCACTTATGAGTGAGTACATACCATGTTTGTCCTTCTGAATCTGGGTTACCTCACTCAGGATGATATTTTCTAGTTCCATCCATTCTCTTGCAAATTTCATGCTGTCATTGTTTTTCTCTGCTGAGTAGTACTCCATTGTGTATATGTACCACATTTTCTTAATCCATTCTTCAGTTGATGGGCATCTAAGTTGTTTCCAGCTCCTGGCTATTATAAATAATGCTGCTGTGAACATAGTTGAGCATGTATCTTTGTGGTATGATTGAGCATTCCTTGGGTTTATGCCCAAGAGTGATTTGGCTGGGTCTTAAGGTAGATTGATAACCAATTTTCTGAGAAACCGCCATACTGATTTTGACAGTGGTTGTACAAGTTTGCATTCCCACCAACAGTGGAGGAGTGTTCCCCTTGCTCTACATCCTGTCCAACATAGACTGTCATTAGTGTTTTTGATCATAGCCATTCTGACAGGTGTAAGGTGGTATCTCATAGTCGTTTTGATTTGCATTTCTCTGATGACTAAAGATGTTGAGCATTTCCTTAAATGTCTTTCAGCCATTTGAAATTCTTCTTTTAAGATTTTTTTTTTTTGCTTTTTTTTTTTTGGTTTTTCGAGACAGGGTTTCTCTGTGTAGCTTTGCGCCTGTCCTGGAACTCACTTGGTAGCCCAGGCTGGCCTTGAACTCACAGAGATCCGCCTGGCTCTGCCTCCCGAGTGCTGGGATTAAAGGCATGCGCCACCACCGCCCGGCCTTTTTTTTTTTGCATTTTTAAAGTATGTGTATGTGTGCCTGTGTTTATGAGCATGTGAGTTACAGGCAGTTGTGAGTTGCCCGATGTGGATGCTGGAACCAAACTTACTGTTGTGTATATATCACCATGTCTAGCTTGAAGATACTATTTTGTTTTCTTTAATTTGTTTTTCATGTTGCACATTTGGAAATAATCTAAATGTAAAGAGAGCAAACATTCTACCGCTTTTCTGTCCCTGGCAGTCGCCCACTGCTGTTGCCGAGGCTGGAATCTCAGCCTTCTGTTCACTCCTAGAGTCAGCAAGTGGATACAGGGGACATTATCTTCGGAATGTCGATAGTTCATGGCTGTGAGATTTCCACCCTCTCTGAAGTTCCAGTCTCTTGAGTTGTGGTTAGCGTTTCTCTGCTGTCTTCAAAAAGATGTTTTGGGGCTGGAGAGATGGCTCAGAGGTTAAGAGCACTGACTGCTCTTCCAGAGGTCCTGAGTTCAATTCCCAGCAACCACATGGTGGCTCACAACCATCTGTAATGACATCTGGTGCCCTCTTCTGGCCTGCAGTCATACATGCTGTATACATAATAAATAAATAAAATTAAAAAAAAAAAAAAAAAAAAAAAAAAAAAAAAAAAAAAAAAGATGTTTTGTCTGGCTTTTTTGGATGTTGATTTCTAAAGATTTGTAACTAACTTCTCACTCTTTGAGAGAAGTAAAAAGGATTTCTTTAGCCTTTTAAATTGTTCCCATTGAAAACATATCAAACTCTTCCTCTATGTTCGTATTACATATCACTAAAACAGTTCTTGTTTCTACACACTTTTTTTGTTGTTTCAGTATCACTAAATACAAAGAACATTAATGTTTCTCATTTTACCTGATCTCTCAGCTGCATTTGACTTTGTTAATTACTTGTTTCTTCTTTTCCTTTGGTTCTCATACTACTACACTGTCTTGGTCTTTCCCCTGCCTGTGGTGAACTCTCCTCCTTTGCAGACTCATCTTCTTTGGCTTGTTCTGCAAATGCAAGGTTTTCTTCAACTTTTTTTTTTTACTGCTGACTTTTTGGCTTCCTAGCCCCAGGAGCTTCTAAAACTATCTTCTCTTTGAATTCCATCTTTGTTAGTGACCCACTAAGAGCATGCCTTCAATTACTACTTGTACTTCAGTATTGCACAAATTTGCAACTGGGGAAAAAAAAAAAAAGCTTCCAACCACCAATTCTGTTTGCCTAGTTATATCCATACTATGCTTCACACTCAAAGAATTTATGATCTATTTCTGTTAGGAAAACTAAAGACTTAAAAGTAATCCATTAACAAGGTATATGTGTGAAAATATCATAATGAAACCCATTGTTCTGTACTAGACTGAAAGCTTATTAATAAAATAATCCATAAAAGCTCATTTCCCTTATGCATCGAGTCTATAACCGAGTTCTTAGATATCTCTTGAACTCATGTTTCCTTATCGACAACTCGGCTGCCTTTTTCTGTGCTAGGGATTGACCCAGCCACTCACTGGTGTTAAACACACACTGTACCACTTCCTATGACCCCATCCCCTCAACTACCTATCTGAGTAAGCTACCCTTACTTTTCTGTAGCTCAGCACCGGGGTCACTTTCTTTTCTTTTGGCTCTGAATTACTCAAAAATACCTTACTATTTTCAGATAGACTGTTGCTTGCTCTTTTTGTCGTTGTTGTTTTCTTTTGAGACTCTTACTGTGTAACTCAGGCTACCATTAAAGTCATGCTCTTCCTGCTTCAGTTCCCAGTTGCTGGGGTCATGGTTGTCAACCATCATTTATGTTTCCCCTCTGCTGGGACTGCCCTCTTTGAAACCCCTCCTTTCCAGATTTCAGTTCAATTATCATATGCTCCTTATTACCCCTCTTACACGTTTTTATAGCTCTGTTTACCACTGTTACATCTTTTGTGGTTTTAAAGATTAGTATTAGATATTAAGCACTAGAAGAATAAGGACCAGGAACCCTATATTTCTAGTCATTGTGTTCCGTAGAACTTCATATAGGTGTGACATCTAGTAGACTTTCAGTAAATTTGCCGAATGCACTGATCCGTTTTCTCTCTGCTCATAGCTGAAGTGAAACGTGTTGGAGATACACTCTTGGGAATGGCAACACAGTGTGTGCAGGTGAAGAATGTGGTTAAGACCTCACCTCAGACTCTGTCTAACCTCTGCCTCAAGATCAATGTCAAACTCGGTGGCATTAACAACATCCTCGTCCCACACCAGCGGTATGAACTCTTATTCACTTGCTTTTGTCAAGGTAGCCTGCTGTGGGTTGGTGAAAAGACAGGAGCCCTCTCCAGACAGAGTGACCGGAACAGAAGAGGGAGGAGACCAGAATGGGGTCTGGGTAGTACCAGCCAGGGCAGACTCAGTCCCTCACCATTTTGTTTTCTTTCCTTGCTCAGCTCTGCTGTTTTTCAACAGCCAGTGATTTTCCTGGGAGCAGATGTTACACACCCCCCAGCTGGGGACGGGAAGAAACCGTCTATCACAGCGGTGAGTGATTCTTTTAACTCTGAGTTCCATACCCAAGTCTTGTTCTCTCAGGGCACCGTCCCTGTGACCCGTTAACCTAACTCTGAGTGGCACCTTCTGGAGGAAGGAGGATCTGGGAGTTAGGGTAGGGATAATATAGCCTGTGGCCAGAAACTTGGTCTCTCAGTCACTCTTTCTCTACATTTTTGTCTTTCTTTTTCACTCCAGTTTTGGGGAGGGTGCTGTGGGATGGTCTGTATGTCAAATGTGTTGCTGATTGGTCAATGAATAAATCACTGATTGGTCAGTGGCCAGGCAGGAAGTATAGGCGGGACTAACAGAGAGGAGAATGAGAGAACAGGAAGCTGGATGAAGGAGACACTGCCAGCCGCCATAAGGACAAGGAAGATGTAAAGTACCGGTAAGCCACAAGCCACGTGGCAAGGTATAGATTAATAGAAATGGATTAATTTAAGCTACAGGAGGGTAAGGAAGTGACTATGTATCTCTTCTCTGGAATCTCTTTTAAAAGAATTACTTTCAGGATTGGCCTTTCTTTTACTTCTGCTTCACTTTGACCATTGATCTATCAAGCAGATTAACTGTCTCTACTCCTTATGGTATCTGGAGCACTTAGTTTTTTTTTCCTTTCCCTTTTATAGTGAGTACCAGACCCAGAACCTTGGTCTACTAGGAAAGCATTTCACCTCTGAAGTAGAGAGTCTCATCCCTAGGGCACTTAATTTGACAGGAACAATGAAGAAAAAAAAAACAACATAAAATGCAGCTGCATGAATGTGGATCAGGAGTTCAAGGTCATTCTTAGGGCTCATGTCATTCTGATGGGCGTAGGTATTTTCTGTGTATTGCAAGGGCACTGAAAGCAATCATTCTTACCACATATTAAGGGAATCTGCTTTTGTAGCAGAACAGACTGAAACCAGTGTTTGTTGGATCTTAACCCCTACTCAATCTCTTTGCGTGGAGACCAGATAGGTACTCTGATGCCGAGACTCCTGGTCTAGGAACACATCAAATGAGCTCGTCCAGTTATGCAGCATTCTTTCCTAGCAGTCCTTTCCCACCCCCGTTACGTCACAGCAGGAGAAGGGGTGTTTAGAAGCTGTTGCTTTCTCTTTGTTGTCAGGTGGTCGGCAGCATGGACGCACACCCCAGCCGCTACTGTGCTACCGTGCGCGTGCAGCGCCCCCGGCAGGAGATCATTGAAGACTTGTCCTATATGGTGCGTGAGCTGCTCATCCAGTTCTACAAGTCCACTCGCTTCAAGCCCACCCGAATCATCTTCTACCGAGATGGGGTCCCTGAGGGCCAGCTCCCCCAGGTATGGTTCCTAGTGGCTGGTTCATTTTCTTGTTGAGGCCAGAGGACTGCTTTTCAAAGCTAATGGTGCTGGGAGAGGCCGTGAATCACAACTGAGGAGTAGAGTAGTAAGTATCTATAGACTTTTGTTTCAACCCTATTTCTCAGTGCCTTTTGGTAGTTAGTGTTGAAGACCATTTAGACTAGTGGTTCTTTTTCTTTCGAGACAGGGTCTCACCAGTAGCTCTGCCAGGCCTGGAACTCACTATGTAGGTCAGGCTGGCCTCAACTACAGAGATTCCCTGTCTCTTCCTCCTGAATGCTGGGATTTAAGGTGTCTGCCACCATTTGCAGCCAGACCAGCGTTAACATACCTGAATATCACCTGGAACCTAGTTTCATATAGCCTTATGTTAAAATTCAACTGTTTTCACTAAGCAATCAGCAGCTATTAAGCTCCTGAGACTTCTATGCCTTCATTTTTTTACTTATCAGTTATCATAGTGGCCATATGAGATAATTCTTATTAGTAAAATCAATAGATGTGGTAAAAATGAGACTTAAGGGTGTTACAAACTTGTTGAAGTCTGGTTTTAGCTCATTTCAAAGTTCATCATTTTCTACCATACAAATAATTCTTTTTGTCTGTAGCCCATGTTGGCCACACGCTTATGATTCCCCTTCTTCCACCTCGTCCATGCTGGGGTTCTAGGTGTGCACCATTATGCCCAGTTTATAAACGTTTTTTTCTGTTATGTTCCTTGAGATGGAACCCAAGGCTGCGTGCATACAAGGCACACAATTTGCTTTAAGTTATAGTCTAGTCTCTACCTGTTTTGACTTTCTGTATCTATTGCCTATTGCAGCGTATATATTTTCTTATAATCCTGATATGGTTTATTTATTTTTTTAATTTATATTCATCCTCTTCTGTATCCACTTCAGGAACTGTATACATCTACTCCTCTCTGGTAGTTCAACCCTGTCTACTCTTAGAAATCTTGATCTTAAATTTGGATTATTTATTTATTTGGTTTTTTAAGACAGGGTTTCTGCATATAACAGCCTTGGCTGTCCTGAAACTCAGTCTGTAGACCAGGCCGGCCTCAAACTCATGGAGTCTGCCTGCCTCCACCTCTCAAGTGCTGGGATCAAAGGCATGTGCCACCATTCCTGGCATCTTAAGTTTGGATATTGTAATTTTTGGTGTCTTCTCTGTAATTTTTGGTTCTGTGTCTTTTTTTTTTTTCTTTTTTCTTCTTTTCCTTCTTTCTTTCTTTTTTTTTTTTTTTTTTTTTTGTTTTTTGAGACAGGGTTTTTCTGTGTAGCTTTGCGCCTTTCCTGGCTCTCACACTGTAGACTAGGCTGGCCTTGAACTCACAAAGATCTGCCTGCCTCTGCCTCCCGAGTGCTGGGATTAAAGGCGTGCGCCACCACCGCCCGGCTCCTTCTTTCTTTCAAGACAGGGACTCACTATGTAGCTTGGCCTGGAATTCACCATGTAGACCAGGCTGGCCACAAACTCAGAGAATTGCCTGCCTCTGTCTCCTGAGCATTAGGATTAAAGGTGTGCATCACCATACCTTTCTAGTTCCACGTCTTAATGTAGTTCTGTAAGATCTCTTTTCATGGAGACCAGATAGGTACTGTCTTTTGAGGCCAAGGCTCCTAGGTTTTCTAGGAACATATCAAATGAATATGAGTATAAGGACCTCTCGTTTCTAATTGTTGAGCATCCGCTTATGAAGCTTATGTGCAAAAAGCCATATACAAGTTGTAATGTTTTTAGTTCAGTGGTGCCTTTGAACTCACCAAGGACCATGTGTCCTTTTCCCCCTCTTTACCTTGTGCCTAGATCCTTCACTATGAGCTGCTTGCCATTCGAGATGCCTGCATCAAACTGGAAAAAGATTACCAGCCTGGGATCACTTACATTGTGGTGCAGAAACGCCATCACACCCGCCTTTTCTGTGCTGACAAGAATGAGCGAGTGAGTGAAGAAGTGTGGAGGCCACCAATACCCTCCTCCTGTCTCCTTTACTTTGAGAGAGAAGTCTTGAGAGAACGTCTGGGAATTTAGTGGTTTTTCCTGTGTGTCCTCCCTGGCTGTTGTCCCCATGGCTTTTTGGCCCATCCTCTACCACTTTTTTTCCCTTAGTGCCTCCTCCTCCCCTCCTTCCCTTGTACTTCCTCTCCTCCTCCTAGCTCCCTGGCCTAGACCCTATATATATATATATATATAGACCAGCTCCCAGAGAAGGGAAAGGGAACTACCATTTATTGAACTTCTCCTATGTGCCAGACCCTGTTCAAGGAGTCTTCCTCACAGCAGCTCTGTGAGGTAGGTACTAGTAGTATCTCCATTTAACCTCAGAAAGGTTAAATGACTTGCTAGTAAATAGCAAAACCAGGATTCAGACACTTGACTTTAGAAGCCTATTGTCTCAAGACCTAGTTCCCTGTGAGAATAGAAACTTCTTTGTTCTTGGAATTCTCGGAGAGAAAGAGTAAAATCCAGCTAAGGCCCTAGTCAGGGCCAGGCAGGTCTTGGGATCTTGGTTGTGTTTGTCTCTACAGATTGGGAAGAGTGGAAACATCCCTGCTGGGACCACTGTGGACACCAACATCACCCACCCGTTCGAGTTTGACTTCTATCTGTGCAGCCATGCAGGCATCCAGGTAGCTGGACCGCATGGGTCCTGGGGTTTTTATTGGGTCAAGGCTTAGTTGGTTATCCCTACTGCATCTAGAATATGTCTTACAGCCTTGTACATTAAAAGCGGAACTATTGTTAGTAAGCCCCTAGGACACTTGCAGGTCGCTTTATAATAGTTTTGTGTCTGTGTCTTCATGGGGGAGTAGGGTATGGTCATCCAGCCTGCCACATTCTTAATTAGTATTGCACTTTTGTCAGCGGCCATCCCCTTTGCCCAATCACGGACTACTTCCCACTTTTTTTTCCTAGGGTACCAGCCGACCGTCCCATTATTATGTCCTGTGGGATGACAACCGGTTCACAGCAGATGAACTCCAGATCTTGACATACCAGCTGTGCCACACTTACGTACGATGCACACGCTCTGTCTCCATCCCAGCACCTGCCTACTACGCCCGCTTGGTGGCTTTCCGGGCACGATACCACCTGGTAGACAAGGAGCATGACAGGTAAAGGCTGGCTGCTTTCCTTTTGCTTCAGCCTCTCGCGCCGACCCTTTCCACTTCTGTTGGAAGAAGGAAGTGAATGTTATCCTACCTAAACCTGGGTTGGTGTTTTCTCTTAATTTGGTATGTGAATTGGCACTGTAGGGATGGGTGGGGGAATTAGCAGCAGTTCAGTTTACCTGGAAGGACTTTCCATATTTTTCTTTTTTCAGTGGAGAAGGGAGCCACATATCGGGGCAGAGCAATGGGCGAGACCCCCAGGCCCTGGCCAAAGCTGTGCAGGTTCACCAGGATACTCTACGCACCATGTACTTCGCTTGAAGGCAGAACGCTGTTACCTCACTGGATAGAAGAAAGCTTTCCAAGCCCTGGGAGCTGTACCACCCAAATCCAGAGGAAGCAAGGAAGAGGGAGGTGGGGTCGGGAGGCATATAGAAGACCTTGTTTCTATCTACAGAGGGGATCTAAGGGTGGGAAGAGGACCAGCAAGACAGACTACCAGCCAGAAATCTGATAGCAACCTCATGTCCTCCCCCGCCTTCCCATCGTGTTACATCTGACCCCACTGGACCAAAAGGGGCAGCATTAGTGCCCACCATACACACAGTTGTCTCGTGTGACTCACAGTGCTAAAGACTCATGCTTGACAGCTTGCTAGGGTCGGCTCTGCAGTCCTGTGGTCAAATGCTGGTATGTTTGGGTTTGATAATTCTAGATGAGAAAGTGAGGGGCTTGAGAAAGCGGGTGGGAGGAGGGAAGGAATTTTTAGGAGCCTTAATCAGAAAAGGTCTAGATTTGTTTAAGAAGAAAAATGAAAACAGACTCAGATCAATATTTTAGGATACTAGATGTTTTCATGGGTTCAGAATCCAGTTTGTAGGGAGATTTTTAATGCTAATGGTTTGGGTTGCTCCTCCCCAGCTGCCACCCCCCCACCCCCCAATTATTCCTCTCCATATTTTCTACCCCATATGCCTCTTCCCTGACAGACATCCAGCCCCTAGTAACACTTAAGGCACTATGGCACTTAGCTCTGAAGTGACACGACCCTGTCTTCCTTCCGCCGGCTGGTGGGTAACAGTGCCTTCCCTGTAACGGTAATGCTGCAGAATTGCAACCTTTTGTACCTTTCTTTGTGGGACGGGGTGGGGGGGAGAGGAGGTCGGGAGGGAGGGAAGAAATATCCCAACGCCAGCAAGCCTCCAGCTAGAATGCCAGCTATCTTTCATTTGAAGGAATTGACTTCCATATTCATTGAGCTTTTAAAAAAAGGTCACACCCTCAAGATGGTTAAAATCCATTGACATTTGCACTTTCAGACATGACAAGTCTCCGAGCTGCTGAGATGACTGGCCCTTGGCCTTCCCCTTTAGCTCCCCCTTTTCCTTGGCCCCACCCCCCACCCTGCCAGGTCTAGAGTTACTGTGGTAGCGTTCCTCATGCTTGGCTTCTTTCCCCCTGATGATCAAGTCTCTTTTGTTTCAATATTTCTTAACTGGGGTGTCTCATAACAAAAGATCTTTAGGACTAAAATAAGAAAACAGAAAACTAAATGTTATTTTTATACCATAACTTGAGTCTATTGCCAAAATCTGGAAATCCCTCTCATACTGGATGAGTTTGCATCCCAGAAGCATGGAGCCATCAGAAGGAACTGTGGCCCTGACTTGTATTCTGGCCTGGCTAAGTAGGGGGTGGTTGGCTCCCTAGGGCGAGGCTCAGCCTCTGCCCTCTCTCTCTCTGCAGACAGTACCTCCACTGCCCCACCCTTTACTCTTTCCTGTAAGTGAATCTTCCCTGTCTCTGGACTGGACTGTCCTTTGATCCTTTGACTAACAGAGGTTCTAGCATGTCCTCTGGACAGGCTGGAGAATTTTGCTGCTCCCTATTGCTTCTGTTTACACAAATGAATTTTTCTTATTTCCCACTAGGGCATGTGAGTGGGTGGCATAGGCTTTTCTTTTTCTCCCCATCTCTCGAGATCCTGGGGTTCAGCTGTCTTGCAGGACTGGAAAAGAAGTGGGTTCTAGCTTTGTCCTTGCTGACTTGAAGCAAGGCGCCCTCTTTCTTTGACTGTCCTTCTTTCCTTCCTGCACGACTGCTTGGGATGGGGAATTTGAACTTTGGTGTACACAGTCCCCTTCTAAGGAGCCTGAGCTTAGGTTTGCCGTACTCTGGGGATGAAGCCATGATATTTTAGATCTAGCCCAGGCTTAGAGGCCAGCTGGAGAAAGGAAGGTCTGAATCCTGGCCTGTGGAGTCAAAACCTCTCTCCAGTAGTCCTTGTACAGACCCAGATTTGCTATGCAAACAGTCCAGGTTCAGTTGTGGCTGGCTCCATGGCTTAGTAACTACCCAAAAGGTAGCACAAACATTCCTTGTGGAAAAAGCCCAGGACTGTTTAGTAGTTCCTCCTGTACTTTGTTTTCTGCTGGCACAGTATGGAGTGCCCCATGGGCACAATCCCAGCCGAAGAACAGAACAGAGGGCTCTGGGAAGAGGCAGCTCACTGGAGAGCCTACATTTCTTACACAAGTGCCTAAAGAGAGTGACGCCAACACTCCATCTACCCTGTCCATCGCCTTCACATACAGTCTACTTCTTGTTCCGTCACCCTTAGGGGAGGGAGCTCTCCACAGACGTGTGCTGTCAACTGGGGTACATTTGGGGGCTTGGATAAGGGCACTATTCCTGGAGGGTCCAATCATTCACCAGCATTTGCAGATGCCCATAGGGAGCAGGTGACTGTCACAACTCCAGCAGCAAGTTTTTGTTCTCTCCTTTTTTCTTTGCCTCACTCTCTCCAGTTGGGTTTCAAGCTAGGGATTGGAAAGCAGTTTTAGTCCTTTGGTATTTATGTGCCATTCAAGAAATAAAAGCAAGAGAATACTGGGCATGATGGCCCATGTCTGTAATCCTATAATCTCAGCAATAAGGCTGAAGCAGAAGATTCGCAAGTTCAGGGTCAGCCTGGGCTGCTCAGTGAATTCCAGGCCAGGGTGCACTACATAGCAAAACCATGTCTCAGAAAAAAATAAAAAGGAAAATCGAGAAAAGTAACGTGGGTAATACAACTTCTTGCTGTGATTAAAAAACAAAACAAAACAAATCCTTCAGATTCAACTGCTCCGGACCATGTGGGTTCTCCTCATTCAGAGGCGGTGTGCACGCATTAAAAGTAGTGTTGCCGCACGGCTCAGCTCGTTTGGGTTTGGTTTGAGTGGTGCGTGGTGCCAAGCTCCACGGAGGCACTGGGAGGAGTCAGTCCACCTTCACTTCGATCTCTCTCCTTTCCCTCACCCCTCTGTTGGCTTCCCTTTTCCTCTTCTGGCTTTCCCTGGCTTCCTTTTCCCTCTTCACTCAGCTTGCTTGCTGGCTGGCCTGCCTGCCTGTCTGCCTGTGTGATAATGAATTCTCTGCATGGCCGCAATGATCCCACTGTTAGTTGGCAAGGTCAGGCTTTGCTCATTGACTACAGAAGACCAAAAACGTGTTTCTCATGCCCAGGGTGTTAACCCTGGGTTGCACTGTCCTCAAGCTTACAGTAGGTCAGACCAGCAGGCCTGTCTAACCGACAAAATCAGTAGGGTTTCTGGCAGTTTCAACACCTCTCCATTCTGTGGAACCGATTGCTCTCGTTTCTAGTGCTGCTGCTTTTTCTCACTACCTGGGGCCTCTCTCTGCTGAGAATGTCCTAGAGTTGAACTACTTGGGTATTAAAGAGTAGCCGGCTAGAGGATGGATTTAGAAGAGAGTGAAAAGAGAATGGAGAGAGTCTGGATAAGAGGTGGTAAAGGAGAGCGCTGCTTTGTATTCAGTCCAGTGTGAACATCGGTTGAGGTGCTAGTGCCGGCCACCTGGGATAGGCCTGGAGCTACTGTGATTGGGAACGTATGCTTGGAATATGACTACAGTTGAACATAACTAACCTAAAAGTATGGAACTACTCTAAAAAATCTAGTTCTCAACTGTAGCATAGTTTCTCTATGGCCTCCTCTTTGGCTGAGCAGCAATGTTTTTGGACAGTTTTCTTTTTTAACCAGAATTGTGGGAATGATGCCAGGGACACGGTTTTCTTTGCTGGCCCATGGAATGTCTACAAGGCTGCTCAGTGTTGTAGACCTGGCATCAGGCATCACAAAGGAGGATGAAGTTTCTTCCCTTTCAGGGTAGAAGAGTCACCTCTCACCTAGCCAAAAGGCAGTTTTGGGAATTTATGTCAGGAAAGGTTTTGTTTTGTTTTCTAATTTCCTAGGCTTTGGATAACCCAGGATGGTAGTTAAGATGCCTTCCTTGGGCAGGGGTCATGGCAGGGATATGCAAGGCAGTCTTTGCTACTTGGCCTTCTAAGCAGACTGGGAAAGAGGGATTCTCTGGTTTTCTCTTTCTCCCCACTTACTAGGACTTGCCTTCTCCCTGAGCCAGGAGAGAGGCTGGGTTGGTGCTCTCCCCTTACTCTGCTCCTACTGACTTAGAACCTCTGGCTGCTGTACGATAGCCCAGGAAAGGGAATGGAAAGAATGGGCTCAAAACAAAACAGAATAATGTAAGGAAGGCAGATTTCCTTCCTTAAAAAGGGAAATCAGAAAGTCTCCAAGAATTGTGTAAGTAAAGACAATGTGTCTCAATGCACTGAGTCCTCTGGTGTCATAGCAATAAGGAAGAATGAAATGACTTCCTGTGCACACAGTCCAGCCTGATTGGTGTATGATGTTGTACTTAGCAGCCATGTGGTGGGCATGTGTGACTACTCTGGGTTTCACTTTATTTTCTAAACTTTTTATTCCTCTCGAGTCCAGCATGGATGGGGAAGTCCCTCGAGCCCCACGGCTGTACTTGTTTGCGATGTTTCCCATTGAGACTTGTGTTCGTGTCCTGCTTTGAGCTGTCCCTTGTCCCGTCCATTGTGAAATTACCCCAGCAGCTGTAATGTACAGTTCCTTCTCAAGCAACAGCAGCAGCAGCAGCACAATTCTGTGTTTTATAAAGACAACAGTGGCTTTTATTTCTAAAGTTCAGTCTCTGTTTTTTTTTCCCCCTACCAGCAAAATAAACTGTTGGGATTAAAATTACATCTCCAATAGGCTTTAGGATGGAATAATAGATTGTCGTGTAATCGTACTTCACAGGGTCTCTGTATTCTTCATTTCACAAACATGCAAAACTCTGTGCCAGAAGTATTGTTGAAGAAGATAGGCACAATTCAAAACTGATAAAAACAGATGTCTTTAAAGTTTCTTGGGCCAGGCGGTGGTGGCGCATGCCTTTAATCCCAGCACGGGAGGCAGAGCCAGGCGGATCTCTGAGTTCGAGGCCAGCCTGGGCTACAGAGCGAGATCCAGAACAGGCACCAAAACTACATAGAGAAACCCTGTCTCGAAAAAAAATTTTTAAAAGTTTCTTGGGGAGATCACTGGTCACAAAGTCTTCCGGTACAAACGATTACAAGTGGCTGGCCCAAAGCTGTAGCAGTGCAGAGGGAAAGGTAAGGGCAGATTTGAGAAGCAGGACGTAAAATTAGTAGGACATCATGACTGATGGGAGAATCTAGAAGGAGAATCTAGAGCTTATGTTTCTACTTGAACATGAGTATACTGACACATTCTCATCAAGATGGGATCGGTGAGACTATAGAAGGAATAGGTACTTCTCCTGATGAAAGATGATTAGCCTGGTATGCAAAGAGTTTCCTTTGAGGGTCTTGTTCTGTATCCCTGGTGACCCTCAACCTCACAACCTCCCGAGCTCCACCTCCTGTGTACTGGAATCTGAAGCCCACAGCACCTTGCCAGCCTCAGATTTTGAGATTTCAGGTAGGAATAAAGTTTCCATAAACACACTCTAAGATTGCTTAGGCAAAATAGGAAACTACTGTTAGAAATACTGGAGTCACACTGGGTAGACGGTGGAGCCACAGGCGCAAGGGAGGCAGCCTAGAAAAATAGCAATGGCCTTGTGGAGGGGGAGGAGGCAGGAATGAGGTGACAGCCAAGTTACCAGCAGATACATTTTCAGGCTGGTTTAATAAAGGGGAGAAGGACAGAAGCAGTCCCAGCCACCCTGGCTCCTGTTATCATCCCACCACCCCTGTTGTCTCGGATCTCACAATATAACTGGTCATTCTCTAGTACTCAAAAAATGACTATTGGGGGAAAAATAAAGTCTGAGGTTAGGACTTCCAAGTTGTCCATCAGATAACACCGCCATCACTTTCAGATTCCTCTTGTTCCTAGGTGAAAAATAAATATCCTGTGTCCCTAACCAGCTTCAGAGGTTGTGTGCTGGTGCACCAGACAGAACCTAGCTTGCTGGACTTGTCTTCTCCAGGACTGTGAACCCCTAGGAACAAACTACATTCTATTCTGTCATCTCTGGACAATAGCAGATACCAGGAAAGTTATATTTGAGAATGAGTGAAATGAGCCAGAGATCATGAGTCTGGAGGGGAAAATCAAGAAGTGATATTGAGATAGGTGTGGTGGCGCACACTTTCAGCCTCAGCATTCGGGAGACAGGTGACCTCTGGCTCACAGGCCAGCCTGGTCTACATGGTGATCTCCAGGTCAGAGCTACATAATAAGACCCTGCCTCAATAAATAAAAATAAATAAAAATAAAAATAAATGGAATCAGCAACCTTGAACCTTTAGGTAAGCCAAAATGTAATGTTCCTGCATCTTCAGATAGGCAGAGTAGAAAAAGACATCTTCGTGTCAGGGTGTTATCTTTCCAAACACTTTCACCCCCAACTGCACACATTCCTTGGTTTTGTACACTGGTGGCGTAGTTGTCAAGCTTGTATGGTCTGGCATCTTCCCTGGTACCACTAGAGCACTGTGATTTCTAAACACTGGGGGAGATGGTTCAGAGAAGGGTTCTGGCAGAGAGCCCAGTGAGGAATCCTCACTGGCAGACAGTGTGCATATACTGGGTCTGCCAGTCCTCCGGAGGCCAAATGTTACGACTTTGCAGATTACAACACTAAGCCTGTGGTGACCACCTGTCACTTCCTGTGGGATACAGCCACCTCGACACGCTGACCCTTTCTACAGCAAAGCTTAAAGGCTGGTTGAGCTTGAACAACATATTCCTGGTTGAAATAAGATAAATTTATGACCATGAAGAAGACACAAAAGGGTGTTTGGGGGTTTTGTTTTTTGTTTTTCTATTTTGAAAGACTTCACAGTTGGGCAGTTGGTTGCTTATCAAACTTTCATGAACTGGTCCTGGAGCCCCAAGTTTTGATTGAAGGCTTTTCCTGTATCTTTAGGTACCCCTTTTTAAAGCACTGGTTGGGCAGTTTTCCCTCTGCCTTATTAGCAAAAATATGATATAGCATAGACCCTAAGGCAAAGTAAGGATGGACATTGTGGGTATCTCTTGCCTTAGACCCTAGAATCTTATGGGTTTGGAGGTTACAGTGAAAAACCATACTTAGAAGTTGTAAACCTCAACATACGTCCCCAGGCTGCTGTCTGTATTACTTCAATAATGTTTGGGGGTTTTTGTTTGAGGCATGGTTTCTCTGTGTAGCCCTGGCTGTCTGGAACTCACCCTGATCAGGCTGGCTGCAAACTCAGAGATCTGCCTGCCTCTGCCTCCTGGGTGCGGGAATTAAAGGCATGTGCCACCACCTCCTGGCTTACTCCAATGATGTTGAGTTAGAATATTAAATGGTTCCTCATTTTTTCAGGCCCTCTTGGCTGTAGCCTTTGGAAGGCTCATAAGTTTGGAAAGATATACAGAGGATATGAAAGAAGCAATCCTTCAAAGCAGCCACATCAGGAGGGAGAAGCTGGAAAAGTGGGGTTGCTGAAGAATGGGGTGCATTTGGAACTTCTTCACTTATAACTGGCAACTGCTTTCCCTAGGAAATAACAGCAAAGTTTTTTAAGCCTTTGTGGCTTTACCTATTCGGAACACACTGTCACCTTGTTCTGAACTGCAGCAGCCTCACTGTGACCTGGCGTGTCTTTTTTTTTTTTTTTTTTTTTTTTTTTTTGGTTTTTCGAGACAGGGTTTCTCTGTGTAGCTTTGCGCCTCTCCTGGAACTCACTTGGTAGCCCAGGCTGGCCTCGAACTCACAGAGATCCGCCTGCCTCTGCCTCCCGAGTGCTGGGATTAAAGGCGTGCGCCACCACCGCCCGGCTGACCTGGCGTGTCTTTAGGGGTTGTTCTTCAGAGCCCTCAGGAACTCTTATCTTCCCAAAGCAGGCAGCTTCTCTCTTAAGAGAGAAAAATAGAACTAGTGAGGTCTGGGGAAAGGTCTTTCTGTGGACTGTTAATAGGATTGACCTGCAAATGGAGGGCTTGGCTACTTTGCGGCTCTTGACACGTTTTATACAGTATTCTATACTGCATCTTCATAGTAATCATTTTCATCAGTCCCTGTCAGGTGCATCTTACAAAACTGAATTACGTAGATAAGGAAAATATCTTCACATGGCAGGAAGTTCTGATTTAGGTTGGTTAAGTGGCTACATAACACCAAAGAACATGGCTGCTTTTTATTTATTTTTTGCTCTGCTCTCCTTTGTAGTGTTGGCTCATTGAATGGTCTCAGGATGGCTACTGTAATTCCAGGAAGGAAATAACAACAAAACAATTTCTAACAGAAGTTAGAAGGACTTATTTCCCTGCCCCTCTCAAGTGTTTCATTCTAAAACAAGGAACTCTTCCCCTGGATGCCCTAGCAATTCAGGCTTCATGACTCAGTGGCTCATTTTCTCATGCCTCTGGCAAAGCAAAAATGATCCCTTATGTGACTTACGTGGGAGCTACCCTTTGAATCATAAGGATTAGGAAGGTTAGTTATGTCTAACAAGAAGAAGCAGGTAAGGACTATTGGGTGGATACCTTGGTTTATGGTGAGGAGCAGACAGCCTTCAGTCATGGCTCTGTCCTCCGAAAGCCCAAGCTTTATGTTGTGATTGCTGCAAGCGCCAAGTCATGACTGCAGAAACTCCTGGAAGAGGCTGTCGAATAATAGTGGCAATTGGGAAGAAAGTGAGCACTCTCAGTCGCTGAGTCTCACTCGTAAGCCACAAGGTCTTACTACTTATTAAATAGGTAGTTGGGCACTCTATCCTTCAAGTGTACTGAGAATGTGGTATTTCACTGGGCTTTGCTCTGGTGTCTAGCATGTATCCATGTACCTATTTGCTACCCTGATAGCTTTGGTAACTTGTTCTTACATGTTACTCATTTTAAAGTTGGATTATCTCAGTGAGCTATAAAAGCTTATAAAATTCAAGTTCTTTGTTGCATGTCATATATACACATATGTGTGTCTATATATCATACATACATATATATGTGTGTAAGTATATATATATATATATATTAATATATATATATACCAATTAATTTTTCCTAATCCATGGCTTGCCTTTTCATTTTGAATAGGAAAAATTTTCCATTTTCATGTCCAATTTATTAATTTAAAGTTAAATTTATTGGCTTTTTTACTTTTCTAGTTCATGCTTTTTTCATAGTAGTTAAAACTTTCATTGTCTGGTGGCTGCTGAGATGCTCAGGGGCACTGACTTCTCTGCATCCGAGACTTCGTATTTTATAGTTCTTCTGAGAACAATCAGTGCCATCAGGAATAAAGCCTGCTTCTTGAACCCTGTCCTTGAAGCCCATCTGTCTGTCAGTCCATCCATCCATCTATCCATCCATCCACTCTTCTATCCAAATAGTATTCTTTTCCTTTAAACTTAATGTGCTCTTGCCGGGCGGTGGTGGCGCACGCCTTTAATCCCAGCACTCGGGAGGCAGAGGCAGGCGGATCTCTGTGAGGTCGAGGCCAGCCTGGGCTACTAAGTGAGTTCCAGGAAAGGTGCAAAGCTACACAGAGAAACCCTGTCTCGAAAAACCCAAAAAACAACAACAACAACAAAAAAAACTTAATGTGCTCTTATAGGACAACAATAAGAATTGTTCTAGACACTGAAGCTGTGGCAGTTAACAAGAGACACAAAACTTTGTGTCCTTTGGAAGTATTTTACCTCAAAATGGTATTTGGTCAGGGCAGAGCCTAATATACCTTTGCCTTGGCAAGAACCTCCAAGACCTTTTTGCCTCCCTGCTTTAAATTTTAATTTACGAACCTTTCACACGGGCTTACTCTAAAAAAGTGTGGATCTGAATAGCGAAAATAGACAGGAACACATCATAGACATTTATTGGATTTTATTGAACCTAAGGGCCCAAATCTTGTTACAGTGTTCAAAAAGACAGTACCTTGGTGCTAGAGAGATGGATCAGTGGTTAAGAGCACTGGCTGCTGTTCCAGAAGGCCCAGGTTCGATTACCAGCACCCACATGGCTGCTCACAGCTGTCCAGTCCCAAAGATCTGACACCCTCTTCTGGCCTCCATGAACACCAGACACCCACATGCATTGAGTTATATGTAGACCAAACACCCATACACATTCAAAATAAAACAAACAAACAAAAACCACTCAGTTTGTGACCACATCATGTTTTCTGGAAGAAGCTAGAAAAGCTTACATTCATTTAGGGAACTAGTTCCAGAATCAAGAGGTGAGGATATGATAGGTCCTTTCACAAGTTTGGGATTTACTCCTCGGGCTTAGATCATGCTATTGAGGTATGGATTGACTTTTAAGATATGCTGATTCATCTGGTGACTTGATATTTTAAAATTTGGAAGGGTGTTTTCAGTCAACAGGAAGAAGAAAGTGAGGCAGAATTGGTGTATCAGATGGGGCTTGGAGTCCCCTCCATTTATTATATAGTAAGCACATCCATTAAGCGCTTCTAAATTGTAACCCTAGTAAATATTTTCGTTATTAACATTTAGGAGGGTTTTTCTGTGCTTACCGTGCATTGTACATGTTGGTCTTTCAATTCTGATGAGGAAACTGAGGCCCAAAGAGATAAAGTGACTAGTCCAAAAGCCCATATAATGGGGAGGGAAAGGATAGTGAAAATTAAATTTCTTTTCAAAAATATTATATATATATATATATTTAGTATGTATTTAAAGTCAAAACATTACTGATTCATTGGGACACAAGGAATATAATGAATCATTGCTAAGCCTGCATAAAATAGTATCTGGTTTCACTATGGCAAGTATTTTTTTTTTTTTAAGGATGTACTGCTTGCATGATAATGTTCTGGATCTAGTCTCCGGTTTATATTACATTCTGATGGGTTGGAGGCAGGTCATGAAGTAGTCCACAACCTACAGATGGGGAGAAAGGTTACCTAGGGAAGATTAGCCGGGTCGCCCACCATAGATCGGTGTCCAGGAAGGCCACCAGAGATGACTCAAGTGAAGGTTTGTCATGGAATGGGAAGGGGAGAATTCCTGGCCAAGGGAACCCAATTCAGCAGAAAAGCACCTGACCGGTTTTGGGGAAACTGGAAGCGGACCAGTTTAGTTGTAAAACAGTCTTGAGGAGTCCCGAGGAAAAAGACCCGGGCTCCTTAACCAGGTTGTTTTAACGCCAGAAAGGAGTTTTAGGTTCGTCAAGGGGATTAGGAGAGTGTTTAAACATAGAAATAATTCCTTTTATAGTACTCATGGAATGTCCCGTTTCTCAATCATCTGTTTTAAAACTATATTGAACTTTTTTTTTTTTTTTTTTTTTAACCATCTCAAAAAAAGGTTGTTAAAGCAACCTTGTGTACTTGGCGAAATCTCTCGTGGTTACCGCCTTAGTGCACGGGCTCCAAGCTAGGAGGGATGATGTCCTTGGATGGTCACCGGCCACTCGCAGGTAGGCTGTCCCTCAGGTAAGCTCCTCAGGGCTGGCAGCGATGTCGCCTCAGGCAGCTGTCCCGGCTGATCCCACCCCACCCCACCCCCGCCCGCCCGCCCGGGAGGCTGTCACGGGGAGGAGGCTGGCCTCTCGCTCGGGATTGTCACCGTCAGGCACAGCGGGTGCAGGGCGGCCGCAGGCTCACGGCTCCGCCCCGGCCGGGCCCCCGCCCGCCCGCCCGCTCCCCGGCTCGCCCGCCCACAGCTCCCCAGAGTCCTCCACGCGCTGGCCGAGCCTGCCTGGATGTTGTCCCCGCACGGATCCGGCTGGAGGCGAGTTGCGGACCCTGCGAGCCGGGCACGAGCCGGGGGAGCGGAACTGACGCGGGCGGGCTTCCGGGGGCGAGCAGGGATCGCGAGCGGCGGCGGCGGCGGGGGCGCTGGCGGCGGGTCGGGGAGCGGTGCACGCGTCAGCAGCTGCGGGCGACGCAAGTTCCGGACCGGGCTTCAGCGTCCTCGCCTCACGCCTCTCTCTCTGTTCTCGCCTAGCCGCGGGGCTCTCTCCCGACAGTGGCTCTCCTGCCCCGAGCTGTCGTCGGAGGGCGTCCCTTCCTCGCCTCGGTGGCGGCACCGTTCTCTCGGGAAGCACTCCCCCCAGCTCCATGAATGGAAATCGGCTCCGCAGGTGAGTCGAGGCTGCTGGACCGGACAGTTGGGGTCGTTACCCGACCGTTGTCCCCTGAGCATCCTTGCTCCTTCCACCTGAGGTGCTGTCAGTGTGCGTCGTTGAGGGAGTAGCTGGTTTTCGGGCCCAACGCCCGTGGCTTCTCCACAGCCCCGCAGCTACTCTCCTGGGGGTCACCGAGTTGGCAAAAAACTACCAGGAGGGTTTAAGTTTGGGTCGATCTAGGCGATGTCATCCCCCCAGAGTGCTTCTCCTCGGAGGAGATGGAGGAGTTTGCCCTTGCTTCTGTAATTCCAGTTGGAAATAGGAAGGCTGCGTTTATCCTTTAACCGGGTCGTGTGTCCCATGTAGGCTGGACGGTCAGTCGCCATCCTCTTCTGCCTCTGAAAGTACTTTGAGGATGCTGAGGTAACGGAAGGGATGAAGTTTGAAATTGGTGTCCGGGCAACGTCCGATGGCATATCTTCCATCCCCAGATTCTCAGTGTTTGAGGCAGTGTGCTGTGTAGTTTCTGAGGAGCGGGGAGATGCCCTCTCGGTCTGGATCACTGCTGCTGTGAGAAGGTAGATCTTCAGAATGCTGACACTCTTTCCCCCCGATTTTCTGATTCCCCTGCAGCAGCAGTTGTCCTAGACCCGGGAAGCCGGAATTTAGGAAAACAGTTTTGTCTCTTGAGAGAAAAATGGCAGCCTTGAGAAAGGAAGCCAGCCTGGACAGGACTTGTCTTTAAAAAGGGAAAAGGAGCCAGTGGTTCTGAAGTAACTGATAGAGCAACATGAAATAGGTGTTACATAACGGCTTGCCTACCAAGTAATCACCCTTGTTCCCTCAATTTCAAAGTTCTCCTTATCCCCACGATCAGTAACAGAGTTTCCATAATATTTTGGGGATTGTCTTATTACTATGGTATAACAGGTCCTGAATTTCATATCTCCCCTTGCCAATTTGAAAGGTCCCCAAATATAAGAAAAACGAATGTAAAAGAAACTAGTGACATGATTGTCAAATGGATATAAAAAGGCATTTCCTTTATTACACGGAATTTCTTAATACTCAGTTTCTACCATTTTTTTCCTTCTATGTTCCATTTTTTTCCCCTCTCCATATTTTTTAAAAAGCAATTTTTTTTTTGAGACAGGGTTTCTCCGTGTTGTTTTGATGCCTGTCCTGGAACTCACTCTGTAGACCAGGCTGGCCTGGAACTCACAGAGATCTGCCTGCCTCTGCCTCCCGTGCTCCACCACCATCCGGCACAAAATTTGTCTAGACTGTGAAGTTTTTAGACTCCTATTATCAATTTGTGTATTTCCAGACTGTCTTTTCCTTGGTCTTAAATTTTACATTTTATTTGTACTGTTCTTACTTTATAAGATATCTGATTATTTCCAGCGATCTGATTTTTACATAGCTACCCTATTGTCAAGTGTGAAAAACTAAATATCAAATTAAACATTTTGTTAGTCATCTACCTAAGACTTTTGAAGATATTTCCACCAAATTAAGTATTTCCCCTTTTGTGTTTTTAGCATGAAAATATTGACAACATCCTATAAAGTACTTGTGATATCAGACCACTTAATCAGCTGATATAATTAGCGAAGCATGACTTAGAAAATAAGTTTTACCTTTTCTTTTTGGATGTTCTTTTGATAAAATATAGAGCAATTGATGTGTCTTCCCATCAGGGTAGGTATAATTAAGATTTATAAACTAGCTTGGTATGGTAGCTCACATCTTTAGTCCCAGCACTCAGGAGGCAGAGATAGTTAAATCTCTGTGAGTTGGAGGCCAGCCTGGTCTACATAGTGAGACTTGGTCTCAAAAAACAAATAAACTAACTAAAATTAAAACAAGACAGTTTTATCAACCATGCTTGGCCATAAAATTTATTCTTCAATAAAGTTTATGTGTGATTGACTGTTGTCTAGTATCAGGATCAAGATTGTTACCATCAAAAATGGTTCTTTGGACTAGGTGTTGTGGTGCACGCCTTTAAGTCTATCCTGGGCTACACAGTGCATTCCAGGCCAGCCAGGACTACATAGTGAGACCCAGTTAACCAAAAAAAAAAAAAAAAAAAAAAAAAGGAGATTTTTGTTGTTGTTGCATCTTTTATGTGATTATTACAGTGAATGTGACATTGAGTTTTTTTCTTTCTTCGAGACAGGGTTTCTCTGTGTAGTTTTGGTGCCTGTCCTGGATCTTGCTCTGTAGACCAGGCTGGCCTTGAACTCACAGAGATCCGCCTGGCTCTGCCTCCCGAATGCTGGGTATGTGACCTTGAAAGCATACTTAGGAAAATGGACAACTAGGTTTTAAATTCCGAATTTGACAGGTGCATATTTTGGTTTAAAATTTTTTAGCTATATGGGCTGGAGAGTTGGGTCTGCAATTAAGAGCACTTGTTGCTCTTGCAGAGGAACCAGGTTTGGTTTCTAGCACTATGTGGTAGCTTAAAATTGTAACTCAAGTTCTAAGGGATCTGATGCCCTCGCCTAACATCTGAGGGCATCAGGCATGCATATGGTGCACATACACACATACAGGCAAAACACTCATATACATAAAACAATAAAATAAATCTTATATTAAAAAATTTAGATATAGACGTTCTGTAATAGTCTATTAGGTTAGTACTGAAACTTTTGACTCTCAGGTTCTGTTTTTGTTTTGTATGGAGATTTGCAGGAATCACTGATGGATTGTTTGTTATGTGGATACACAGAAATCTTAAATTTATTTAGTGCAATAGAGCATGTTAAATACAAATGTCATGTCAGGGTTTCATGATGGAGCATTCCTCACTAAAAATGTTTATCCTTCCTTTCCTATTCACATGAAATATTACAAGGGTTTATTTTATTTTATTTTTGAAACTAGGTTTCATTGTGTAGATTAAAGATGTGTGCCCCTGGGGGCAGGAGAGATGCCTCAGCAGTTAAGAGCACTGGCTCCTCTTTTAGAGGTCCTGAGTTCAATTCCCAGCAACCACGTGGTAGTTCACAATCATTTGTAATGAGATCTGGCGTCCTCTTCTGGCCTATAGGCATACATGCAGATAGAACACTGTATACATAATAAATAAGTAAATCTTAAAAAAAAATGTGTGCCACCGTGCCTACCTTTGTAGGGGATTTTTTCAGTTTTTCTTATATAGCCCACTAATTTAGTACCATCTGCCTTAGTTAGGGTTTCTATTGCTGTGACGAGACACCATGACCATGGCACCTCTTATAAAGGAAAACACTTAATTGGGCTGACTTACAGTTTCAAAGGTTAAGTCCACTATCATCGTGGCAGGAAGCATGGTGGCATACAGCCAGACATGGTGCTGGAGAAGGAGCTAAGAGGTCTACATCTTGATCAGCAGGCAACAGGAAAAGAACTGAGACACTAGGCGTGGCTCGAGCATCTGAAACTTCAAAGCCTGCCCCTAGTGACATACTTCCTCCAACAGGGCCACACCTCCCAATAGTGCCAGTCCCTATGAGCATATGGGGCCATTTTCATTCAAACTACCATAACATCTAAATGTTGATTTAATCAAAAAATGGCATAATTCATTTTTTAGTAATAGTTTAGCATTCATGTTTATAATTCCTTAAGGATACTTCTGATGAGACTATTTTTCTGGTCTAATTACAATTGAGCTAAATTTCTAGTCTAAAACAATTGTGCTTTGTTTCCAAAAAAAAAAAAAAAAAAAAAAAGAACAAGAAAATCAGGAAATGATTATTTAAATGCTACTTATTTTTTGAAATCTAGTACTCTAGTTTATATTTTTAGGTAAAGCCCAGCTGTTGTTCAGAAAGAAATTATACTTAAATGTAAATATCCTCTAGTAACCTTTGGGAAGCCTGGAAGTTTCCATTGTGGATTGCTTTCCTAGCATACTCTGAATTCCATTCCCAGCACTGGTGGGGAAAACGCCTATGGAGGGAAGGCATCTATTTTTATCGTAAGTTACTAGTATGTAAGTTGATTTGTCATGGCTGGTAGTTTTATATAATCTTGCAAAAAGGGGGGGGGAATCTTAGTTAAACTTTCTTTTTAAAGAGTTATTTGCTTTTACCTTATGAGTGTTTGACTGCATGTGTGTATTATGTACAGCATGTGTGTGCCTGGTGCTCACAGAAGCCAGGAATCGGGTTACAGGTGTAGTGAGCAGCCATTTGTGAATGCTGGGAGCTGAACCTGGGTCCTCTGCAAAAGCAGGAAGTTCTCCTAACTGCTGAGCCATCTCACTAGCCTCCTTAAGTTAAACTTTTAATTCCTCTCTGAACATAGTTGTCCTAGAACCCTGTATTTCTTTATTAATAAAAATTTTTCTTGAGTCAGTTGGAAGCCAGCAAGGTGGCTGGCTTATTGGGTAAAGGTAAAAGAACTTGCCGCCAAGGTTGATCCAGGTCTCACATGGTGGAAGGAGAGAACTGATTCCTAAAAGTTGTCCCATCAATACAGACATACACAGATACAGGCATGGCATGGCGGTGTACACACACACACACACACACACACACACACACACACACACACACACTAAATAAATAAAGTGCAGGAAAAACAAAACTCATCTGAGACTAAATTTCAAAAGAACAAAAGCTGGACGTCAAGGAAGCTAGAACTGAATCAAGACTGAGACTCGGGCTGTCATGATGGGGTGCTCCTGTCATCTCAGCACTGTGGACGGCGGAGAAAGGAGAACTGTGACTATGAAGCTAGCCTGGGCAACATAGTAAGACCCTGTCTCAAAGGAAAAGGGAGGATTGGAAGAGAAGGTTGAGAGTTATGGATTCAAAATAACTAATACACACAGTGCCATCAGATTCTTAGTTTTGTATTTAAACCAAGTTATCACTCTGGGAAGTGTTTATTGTTATATAAAAGGTTATACTTACGATTTGTTTTGAGGGAAAAAATGTCATATTGCCCCGCTGTGTGGCAGTTGTGAATCTGGAAATACTAAGAGTTTTTTTCCTACTGTGTCATCACTTAAAATT